GTCAAAGTTTCAAGTTTTTTTTGTGACTTCCTCCTATAGTTTTATTAATAATTGAATTACATTTAATTGACCTATTACAGGCCCACAGGGTGATATAATATTGGGAATGGTATTCAATTTACTCATTAAATCAGTTTTTGGCATTTAGGACGAAATAAGTATACAAAAAATATTTTAACGACTGAAAAGGTCCCAAATTTAATTAAATAATAGTAATGAAATAATATAAATATAATAAACATTCTATATGGTAGGTATTGTAAATCCAGCCTCTCAGGAGATTACAAAATAATCCTGTGTCTAGACAATAGGTATCAGCCATATAGAAAAATAATAAAAGGAAACGAAATAGCCTATTTATTGATTATTGTTGTTAAAAAAAGTTTATATGTTTTCATATAATTAATATTTCGTTTCCAATAATTCCAATCTAATCAGTTTTTAGCTTTGTTATTCGTGTAGAGTACATTTGCTTTTTTATTTTTTGTTTGAATTTTTATTATTTTTCTTTACAATTTTAAGATAACCGTCCTCAAAATTCCCGTCAACCAGAGCTAAAAAATTAATTAGAGTAGCTCTTTTATATTATCCCCATGGTATCAGCTATACTCAAAAAAAGGCGTGCCTATTCAAATTCAGACATGAAATATTATTTTTTTACTTCTAAATAAATTGCTGGATACTCGAAACAGGTAAACAAAAATTTTAGACTAATTTAAGTGGTCCATATCTGCAAAATTAAAAAAGGTATTTATTTTATCAGCGACTGTCAAATAAAATAAAAAGTTCTTATAAAATAGAACAGAACTTCCTAATTTTTAAGATACAGGATTTTTGAAATTCGCTAAAGATACAAGATCAAGATAAATTAAAATTTTTCGCGGATAGACCTCCCTAACCTTTATTTTCATTGAAAATTTTCCGGGCAATTTTATTTATATTTATTAAATATTATTTATATTTATTTTTAAAAATTAAAAAAGTTCCTGTAGACAAGGTATTAGTCAAAATGGGCTATATCGATAATTTATAGATATTTTTAAAAGATAATATCGGATTCGGATTCCTGGTCCTCGAGAACCCCCCTATACAAAATTTTGCTCACTTATGTAGAATTACCTCGAAATACTAGTTTGGCAGGAAAATCGCGTCAAAATTCGACGGTTAATATTTAACGTTTTATATCTCGCCTACTTATAACCATGAGAAGTATAAATACAGTTGTATCCCTTGGTCCTTCCTGTACCAAACGGTATCAAAAAGTCTGTTAGGTTGTACCGTTCGCTGTTAGACGACGAAATGAAGGGGGTAGGAGGGACTTTATAGCATTTGCGACAACATCTCATTGACCTTTATCTTTAATAAAAATGTCAATTTTCCCGGAGCAACGTAGGTATTTAAAAAAATTAAAAATATAAATTTTTGATAAAAATCACAAAATCGAGGTCGATATTTTTGGATCCGGTTGAAATGGGACAGGAAAGTAGGGGGTCGAGGGGGCACTCTCAAAAAATTCTCGGTTATCTATTTGGAAATTTCCTAGCTTCTTGAGGGGACAAAATATAAGTAAAAAAATTGATAAAATGCCCTTTATCTTCAAGAAAAATTTCAACTTTCCCGGAGAAACGTAGGTATTTAAAAAAAAATCAAAAAAGTAAATTTTTGAGAAAATTCACAACCAACCATGAAAATTTTGGATCGAGCTAGATATTTTTTGATTCGGCAGTATTTTGGAAGGATATTAGAGGGTTAGGGGGGTACTTTCAAAAATGGTCGGTTATTTATATGGAAATTTCCTAGCCTCTCGAAGGGGCGAAATATACGTAAAAGACGTTTTTCTTTTCGATAAATTGTCGATAATTTATTTATTTTCCAAAAACTTTCCTGGAGCAAGTATTTAAAAAAATGAAAAATGTAAATTTTGGAGAAAATTCACGACCAACCATCAAAATTTTGGATCGAGGTAGATATTTTTCGATTCGGCAGAAATTTGGAAATTTTTTTTTTTTTGATAAATTGGCTATAATTTATCGACATTTGTAAAAACTTTCCTGGAGCAAGGTAGGTATTTAAAAAAATTAAAAACGTAAATTTTTGAGAAAATTCACCACCAACCATGAAAACTTTGAATCGAGGTGGATACTTTTAAATTCCGCTGAAATTTGACAGGAAGGTGGGGAGTCAGGGGTACTCTCAAAAAATATTCGTTTATTTATTTTGAAATTTCCTAGCCCATTCAGGGGGTAAAATATAGGTAAAAAACCCTTTTCTTCGATAAATTGTCGATAATTTATCGACATTTTCAAAAAACAGTATCGGATTCGGGCCGAAAAACCAGCCCAAATTCGTTGGTCAATTTTTAACTTATGAACATGAGAAGCTGAAATTCACACGTTATTTAGCTTAGTCCCTCCTCTATCGAACGATACCAAAAAGTTTATTACAAGTTGTACCGTTCGCCGTCTGGAACGGTTTTGTGTGAGAGGCGTAAAAATTAAAAGCAAAATTAATTACGACTAAATAATTTGCTAACTTAACTCTGTAAACTAGGGAAACTAAATAAAATTGTAATTACAGAGTTTATAGACACGTCTGAAACAACCTAGTCTAGAAATTTAGTTTGTACCCAACATTAATTAAACTTATTGATTAAAGCTTTCAAATACATGCAGCACAAAGTAAGTAGGTACAATAATCGTAGCTGACCGCTTGTTGTTCAGAGAAAATCCAATAATTAAGCTTCCATCGTCAAGTTATTTGTTTCGAAGGCAGCCTAACAAGTGTTTTGATCCACAGAGACGGGCGAATTTTGAGTAAACAGAACTACAACCCTGAAAGTTGTTTGGTTGCCTGGAGCCAGAGTTGAGGTCCTCTGTCACATATCAAAAAATATTCGCTTTAATCCTTACTACATATTGAGCGAGAAAGCGTAGGTCATGTACAGGGTGTTTTCCAAAGTCGTTCATAAAAGCAAAACGACGATTTATAAGCGAGTTTAAATTTCGCGGCGTTTCTGAATGAATGAAATTTTCTTTTTAAAGGTTCAACCAGAATTATTGCTTTAGCCATCGCAGCACCTTTAATTTTGCCAATGAAGGGAGGAAACACCCTGTATAAAACAATCGAAGGCAATCATTTTTTTTGGTTAAAAACGACTGGACATATGTATTGTTAACTATTAAAGTTTGTATGAAAATTTATAAAAAACTAATTCTTTTTTGTATATTTTATTTATTCCATTATATTTCAATATTTCTTTAAGTTACTATCTAAAATGTAAAAATAGTAATAAAAAAATTCATTACAACAATTTTCTCCTTGTAACTGTGCAACTTTTTCAATATTTTTTGGAACTTTTTGGTTTTTTCTAATAGTTGTGTATAAAATCCTGATCGCGAATCTCAAGGGGATGAAGGAGGGACAAAAGATTGAAATTATTTGTCTTTTTTTGTCCAAATAATTGGTCATATGTATTGTTAACTAGTAAATTTCAGATGTAAATTTTTAAAAAACTAACTCTTTTTTGTCTGTTTATTCCATTATGCGCTAACAATCATCAATCATTATAAACAAGTTGGCAAATATTAATAAGTAATATAGGAAAAATCGAGTTTTCGAATATTTTTTTTCGAATGGTTTTTTGGTACGATATTTATATATCGATATAAAAAATCATTGTCGATACTATAAGAAAATCGGTATTTTATTTTGATGCCATTTTTGTCAATACAGAATTGAGTGGCATAAGGCAACAATCTATTAGCGCATGTAAGCTAAAAATAAGAACTAAACGAAAATTTGGACACACAATAAAAACGAGCTCTTTTATTTCGCTTTATTTTTAAATAACGCGGTGATAATTTACCACAGAATCGCGCGTGTTGTAGTTGAAAATTAAAACTCAATCTATTCTCTAGCAGCCGCTTAAAAAGTCATTGTTACTTAACGATCAAAACATAAAAATCTAATACTATTGTTATTGCAAAGTTTCCAATAAAAATACGTATATTATAAAGTCAATGTGTAATATTGTTATTCCATACATACCCGACGCTTTGCAACGCTTTTATGAGTTATACCTGGCTTTTGGACAAAACTATTTTTTATGATAACAACCAGGCAATTACGCCGCGTAACATACGTCAAATAATAAAATTTAAATTTGCAATAACCGAACCTGTAATTTGCAACTACTGAAAAGCGAAATATGGCCGGACAAATATATGTTGTGTGCTATTTTTTTCGTTCATTAGGAACGTCACGGGAACTATTTTTATTTATCATGTAGTGTAAGATGAGTGAGCAATATCGATTAAGTTTATCGAAATCCATTTGAAAATAACGCCGGATTATTGTATTCCTGCAATAAAAAATAAAACTTTGCGTTTGAATTTAATTGACCGCATTAAAACGCAATTATTTCAATGAAAAATGGCGCCGCTTTCATTGGAATTTTGTCACTTTTTTTGCCATAAAAAACGTGTCGCGTTTTTTAAAAATGTTTTTAATTTCAAAAAACCAATCGATATACCGCAACCCGCAATACATACCAAGGAGACGCTACCCAAATTATTTAGGGTCTAATCCGGAATAAGTACAATGTTTATATTATTTTTTAACAGAGTTCTGTTGTACTTGTTGCCTCTGCTATAAAAGGACGTTAACAAGTACCGCAGTATTTCAATTTCTCCTATTAGAACGTGGTGAGTACATGACTTGTGATTATTGTATATTCCCAAAAGGGTGAAAATACATCAGTTTTTGTTATGTCTGGGAAATGCGAAGCATGTTTCTGAAATGACGGACATTTAAAAAACAAGCAGTTGTTTACTAATAGCCACTATCGAATGGGTGAGAGGCTCTTCCCAACTGATCCATACGGAATTCTTTCTCGTTACTAAATACGTACGATAAAGATGGAACTTACAATATACAGGTCTGTAGAGATTAAAAATGTTGTTTACCTTCTTAAAAGAACAACACGAATACCACGTATTTACCTGAACTTCGAGTTCCTTTTAATTTAACATGTGGATCGTATTATTGCACACCAAAGTACACACATTCACGAACTGTTTTCAAACATTACTATAATAAATAAGAGTTGATTTTTCGTACATGTATCGTCAAAATTAACAACCTCATAACAGTATTGTCCATCCACCATGCTTCTCCTAAGACACAAAACTTCCCAATGTTGTTTGGCAATTCTATGCTACACACACACACTGTTGCCAATTTTATACATTTTTTGGCAATTCCGTCATTCGGATAGATTAACGACAAATATATCAATTTTGCAACTGACACAGCAATTGCGTTACACTCGCTGGCATCAAATGAAACTAGCGTGAATGAAAATCGTTTACTATTAGATGACATGCGTAAGAAAAGGGGCAACGTGGGAGATTCGACCGAAGTAACCAAATATTTTACGGCGTGGGACAATTTACAAAACCAGAGTATCCCGTCTTCTTATGTTTTACAATACGCAAACAATTTATATTGAAACAAAATCAAAATGCGACATTTTTTACTCGACGCGTCTGCTTTGCTATCAAAACTACGATCATGCGTAGTATCATTAAAGGAAAAATACGCCGTCAAGACACACTTCCCACTATTGGCTTTTAAAACACGTGAGTTGCTTCGTTGTCGTCTGTGCTGCATTGAACCGTAGGTATAAGTTATATTAAACCCCCAATTAGCTGTTATTTGCTCTAAAGTGTGTTAAATAACCTATAGTCCACTAAAATAAAATTTGTTGGGGAAGAAATGGAATTTTTGTATTTATGACTATTCCATAGTGCCGATTATTTTTAACAGACTCCCTTTTGTGCCTATTTCCCGACTAGTGACGAAAAATGAGAACATTTGTAATTATCGTGTGATTCGACCTAATAAAGCATAACTTCCAGCATAATATCAACAAGTCACTCACCCAGAAGATCACTCCCGTAGATATTAGTACTTCTACAATAACTGGATAAACTCGTATAACTGCTTCTGTATTTATAATTACTATTTCCTCTTATAGTATTTATACTTATGAATTTAATCATTAAAAAAATCAAATAGCAGCGCTTCCACCATAATGTCAACAAAGCATTCCCATAGAATCTCAATGTATTTCCACAAAAAACAGAATATATAACTGCTTCTGTATTTACAATTACTGTTACCTATTATTTACTATTTGTAATAATATTCTTTCAAATAAAAAAATTCAAATGACTGCGCTCCCACCATAACGTCAACGAATTCCTCATTGAAGTTTAGTATTTCAACAAAAGTGAATGAACTCGGATAACTGGTTTTGAATTTGTGGTTTTCTCGTAACGCTGGAGTATAGTAAATACCACGCATTTTACAACCATTTATTTTTCCAATGGTACATATTATTAGGGAACAAGATAAAATAATAATTTTACAATATGTCGCCCGAAATACAAGTAGAGGCTAAATAACATTGAGAATTTGAGCGTTAAACAAAAATCTCCCTTTTTAGAATGTTTTTTTTTATATTTATGCAAACAAAATTATGTTGAATGTCAACAACAATCAATCTAAACCATACACGTTATTTACAATCAGTCTAAGTTGATGATTGATAATAATACTATTTTATACAACATTTATACAGAGTTGCTTTAACATACGCGTATAATAAATCTATCTATCAAATATAAACACTAGTATATTAAAGGAAATTATTTAGTGAGCAACAATCGAGAAAGTAGCATCAGCTAAATAATTTTTTAAGTGGGTAAAATGACGAGCAATTGATAGATGTAATTTATTTGAAAAATAAATATAGAATATTTAGAGCGCTTGGATCACAGTTAATTCTGCATAATTTCAACATTTTAAGATTTTATTTAACGTCACTTGTAAAATAAAACAATTTTTAAAATAAATTATTTATAAAACTTACAAATTAATCTTCGATGATTTCCAAATGACATATATTACAATAAATTAATATAAATTAACAAATATCATTTTTTGAACAGTAAAGGATATACCTTCTAACACAGAAATGATCTTCTAGTTTGTACTTTAAACTTAGGTACATACATACATATAACACAATAATAATATACACTTCTCAAAATTTTGCTTATGAATATTTGGAATAAACCAAACATCGTTTAAAAAGTCCAAGCTTGAAGAAATATTGCTTCATAAAAAGTGAAATTAAAGAGTACCACAAATTAAGCTAGTATTGAGTTTTTATATCATAACATCCGATCCTAAAATATCATGACACTTCGTTTCGTTCCTATACGATAATACTAATACTAAAATCTACCTGGATTATTCTTTCAACTGTAAAAATTTTCCCGCTGTTGATAAAGAGGAAGAGGTGCAACAGGTGACGAGTCCTCATCTTCCGTACTTATTGGCTGTTTCATAAGAGGTAGTTTTTCGAGGGTTTTGGCTAAAATCGGACAAAAGTAATCAGAATGTGCCAAATTATTAACCATTTAATAGATTAGTGCAAAAAACAAACCTAAAACAGCAACATCAACTAAGCACTACTATCTGCGTCAGTAAATCCTACAAAATAAAAACAACAACATAATAAACAGAATTAGAACACCAACGTGCATTTAGGTTCACAACGAGCAAGTCGTATGACTTACCTGCCACAGCTTTACTTATTTCCATCACTTGTTTAGCGAGAATTTGATTAAGCTGCAATAAATGTTCTCTCTGCTTCTTTTCCTCTACGATATTTGAGCTTGAAGCCGTTTTGCTAATAGGACTTGGTTTTTTGCTTCTATCATCTGGAGCAATAACAAACGTTTGATGATGGATTTGGTATTTATAGTCTATTCGTTACAAAGAGAGTGCATCAAACTATGTAAACACGCAGACCCAACAACACTGCGAAGTGAAGAAGTTGCTAAAGTCTGTTTTTAAATTATGCCTAGCCAATTTAAGAGAAAAAGAGCAAAGTGAATAGTTGACACTTTAGAAGTGAAGATGAATTCTTAAATGAGGATTTAGTCACGACGCAAATTAAAAAAGCATTAACTTTATCGTAAACAACACATCTACTGACTTAAAAGATATTGGATTTAAAGGAAAAATTATAAAGAAAGAACTATTAGCTATAATGAATTTACACAAACATTTGTAAAAAAAAGAATTTTTGGTACAAAGGAAGATGTCAAGTCCAGTAGACACGATGCAATTTCTACTTGATGGTAGACAGTGTGTCTTTTTAAATGTTGCTACTTTTTAGCTTTGCTGGCGTTAAATGGATAAACTTCATGCAAAAATGTTTTTACCAATCCGATATATATTAATAATATTTATTTATGTGTTTTCTAAAACTAATTTCTGTGCAATTCACTTACATTTAGAGCTAAGTTAGGTTACGTATTGAAATACAGTTTTTTTTTTAAACAAATTGTTCTTTCGTGTTTCGTGTAATGTTATCTGCCAAATTCTATAATTTTTATTAACCACAAATGTTAAATTTAAATTCATTTTACTTGCTAAAATAAAATTTTGTTTAATTTTTCAAAAAAACTTCCACAGCCTAATCTAATGCTTTTTACAACAGTAAAGGATGAACTGTCATACCATTTACAATTTTTAATTCATCATGTATAATTTCTAGATTTATTTCTTTTAACTTTGAGGGTTCAATTACTTTTTACAAAACTTCTGGATTCCTCCTGCGTCGGTTTTTGCTTAGTCGAAATTACTGACGTTTCGCCAATCATCCTGTTGGCTTCTTCAGAGCTTGACAGTCAACGGGTGATTGGCGAAACGTCAGCAATTTCGACTAAGCAAAAACCGACGCAGGAGGAATCCAGAAGTTTTGTAAAAAGCAAAATTTTGTTTAATTGAATTTATAGATACTCTATTATTACTAAATTTAATATTTTATATATTAATAATGATGCTATGTAGAAATGTAATATAATAGAACGTAATAAATTGTTACTTTTTACTAAAATTCCTAGGACGGTCTGCTCGGCAGCAAGATGGATAAGTTCAGAGAAGCGTAAATATTCATATTTTAAGTTGACTTAAAGTTAAGTTTAAATGACTAACGCAGCGGTCATTTTGGGAATAACTTTTGAACTATAAAACAGGAGTGGTTACCTGTTGTCTTACACCGTTTGAAAAGCGAAAAACCTCTTTGCTTACTTTTGTATAAATAAAAATTGACTTGCCGTAATAATAAATACTATGGTTTTGATAATGCAGCTTTCATTTTTACAAGTTCCTACTTTTTTATTATAAAATTGAATCGAATTGAATTTATTTCTAATAACAATAATTACAACATAATATTCCGCAACACACGGTGTATGTTTGCAATTAACACGGTGGTGAAAAAATTTCTGCAAATTCCTAGATCTAACAGGTTACAAAACAATACGAAAAATGGCTGAATCTTCTATTATATACCACTATATATTGCTCAAAATTATTATTTGTTTTAAATATTTAAGGATTATTAACTATAAGAGATACAAAAGCAACGAGTTTTAAAAAATGTGTAACATAACAGGCAGGGAGTTATTTAATAATTTATTAGCCATTGCTAAAGTTTGTTTTTATTTTATTATACTTTATTTTTATTTTACTTTATTATACTTGAGCATCATTAAATAAATAAATATATATATATATATATATATATATATATATATATATATATATATATATATATATATATATATATATATATATATATATATATATATATATATATATATATATATATATATATATATATATATATATATATATATATATATATATATATATATATATATATATATATATATATATATATATATATATATATATATATATATATATATATATATATATATATACTAGATACAATAGCAATGGCTTAGCATGAATTTTAAACATCTACGGCATTTTTTAACGTGTTTATATAAGATTATTAAAAACAAAGACTCTACTAAGAGAAAGATCGTGTTTCAAAAACATTTACTTTATATACAACAAACTACACTTTCCTTGATAAGTAAACAATTGTGTGTAATCTAAATTTTATTTTTACTTATTAACTTGATAACCAAAACTAACACCTAATTTTATTTTGAATAATTGGGAATTCTTTTCACTTTTGATTAATAAAGTCATATTATTATTGTTGTTTGACGCCGTTTCCCTTTGATACTTTTATTATTACTAAAGGTTTTGTTGCTCTCTCTTTCAAACTAAATAGAGTATAAATTGAATTCAAGCCCTTACCGGTTGCCGTAGTAATGGTGCTACTGATGATCGTTGTATCCGACAGCATTTTTTTAATTGACTCCACTTTTTTCATACGGCGTTCTTGTTCTTCCGCCGAGGGCTGAGGTAGCTGTTCAGGTATATATCGCTCCGGAATTACAATTTTATTAGGCGTACTTAGAATGCTATCTATCGTATTTTCGTTATATTTCAGTTCTTTATTGCTTAAAGTCGATCGGACGATATCTGGCGCGTCGATACGCTGGCGCAAAGCCCTTTCGATGTCCAAATCGTCCCTAGCCCTTCTACTTTCTAGGCTACCAAATGGAGCTAACTGATCATGAGGGGTGGTGTAATGGCGGCGTTTTTCCCTCGGAACCGCCCTACGTTGCGGTACGCTACCCTTTTTTGACATTTCCGTGATGATTTGCTTGGCAGCTTCGCTTTTAAAAACTGGCGAAAGCTCGGAAGTTTTTTGCTTTTGGGATTTCGAAGGTGTGGGCAGCGAATGGTGGTCGTAAAAATAATTTTGAGCCTGACTGGGGATTAGTTTGGTCAACAAGTTGTCGTCTTCTTCTGCGAGAATGTCGCATTTTTCGGTGAATGTTTTTTCTCGATCCCTTTGTCTACGTTCCGATTCTCGTTTTACTATACGCACGGTTTTAATTTCAGGACGTTCGAGCATATTGGAAGAAAGTAAGGTGTCGTCGTTACCCAACTCAGCGGCCTTTTGGCTGGGGTCTACGTATTCGGCACTGCCGTCCGTTGATTTTGTATTTGTATTTATATATAACGGCTTTGTAGGTGTGCTCGCATAGTTATAACAACTGTGATCTATGTTACTCATGGTGTCCAGATCTGTTTCTCTCCATACGGACACTGGTTTTTTTTTAGAATCTAAAATTTCGAAAACACAATAATTAACCGCTTTATTTAACCTCCACAGGCTGGTCGTAATTAGGATGTTTTAACAGGAAGAACCTATTTCCTAGATAAAGCAAAATCCACATAGATCGATTTTTGAGAAACATTTAATGATTGAAACCAATCAAGACATAGGGCGTTTTTCAATTTTCGGCCCTTTTGAAAATTGCCCGTAACTTTTTTATTTACAAACACTTTGGATTCGGATAAAAATAATATTAGGGCATTTTTATAAGGCAAATGCAATGGCACACGCAGATTTTTTCTACAGTTCTCCGTTTTCTCATAAATAAATACAACTTTTTTACTACATATGGCAATCATAGTTAGCTATGTTAGTATTTATGTATACTATGATAAAATAATTTAATAATTACTGGAACTTTATAAAAGATGGCCAATTTAAAATAACAATAAGAACTATATAAACTAACTAAGAACCATTTAATATTTTAATTTCAGATCTTATTTTTAAAATTTTATTTTAATGTTTTTGATTATTTAGAAAACAAAATTGTAATTATTCGCTATTCACTAACTGTATAGGATTGGGAGCGGCTTCCTTAAACTCTACTTTGGTTTTAAAATTTCTGTCTTTAAATATAAGATGTTTAAATATCGCCCCTAAAAAAAATCTAGAGGAGTTAAATCACACGATCTCGCAGGTGACATTATTGTCCAAACTCTTTATTTAGAAGTTCACATACAATCCCTGCGTTGTGAGCTGGGCAACCTTCTTGCTGATAATAGATACTCCTTCCGGGAATTAATGGCACATCTTTCAAAAATGCACCAACACAAAATTCGGTTGGTAGTGAAGATATCACCCTGGGGTGTTTCTCGAAAATCCCTGTACCAACTTGTAAAATCTTGGTTTATATCTACATTTTTTTTGCAAAAATGCACGAAAATCTTGTTTCGCTTATGGCTTCAACAAAAGAGAGAGAAGTACCATTGTTAGCACCGAGTAATTATCAATATTTGGACACTATTGTATGCTAAAATAAACAACAACTCTGATAAAGGAGGGCTACAGAATCACCACGTGCCTTGAACAGTATGGCGTCGTCTAGTCCCGTTTTCCAAAACCCGAATCATTAATTTACTAATAGTCTAAATCTAACATCAGGAGTGGGATTGAGCCCGTGTTCTGATTAACCTCGTGTGGAGTGCCTTTATTGTTTTAAAATAAAAAAAATACCGAAAACAATACTTCGGTGGTCAGAGACCAGATTTCTGGATTTACCTGACGAAATGTTATGGTCTACACAATAAAGGTAATACAAAAATTTGTTAATAGGAAAAGTTCAGACAAAAGTTATATAACATAGGATACCTATAACTATTCTGACTTCAAAATATTATTATATATTATTATTTTGTGATTTAGTTGGTCTCATGATTATGAAAATTGATAATTTCGAAGTTTATTCGGTATAATTTAAAAAACATTTTTTTAATCTCTTTTCATTTTATCTGTTTTTTTTTTAATTTTATTTATCACGTCAACGAATACTATACCAAAATATTGAAAATTTAATGAAAACTTGTAAAAATATAATGTCAAAATTATAAAGATTGCTAGGATGCACAATTCAAAATAATTTACAGGGCGGGTCAAAAAAGCGTATAAAACATACATTTTTTTTAAATCGAACACCCTATGTTTCAATTTTCATTTTCTATATTTTAATTTTTCTAAAAAATACTAGTATTCTAGTATAAGTTGTAGGTTTTTGAAACATCTTTCCTAAAAAATATTAATATGTGTGTGTGATTTAAGAAAATACAGATTTTTCAATTTAAAATGATCCAAATATATTCGTTTATTTCGACCACCCTGGAGCATCTAATTCCGTTGCATATATCGTTTACGTCATCTGTGAAGAAAACTAATAACTGACATGGCGCTATCTTCATTTTTTGCAAGTCTGAAAGCTTAAATTAAAAATAAATAAATAAAATATTGCAATTATTAGGTTTAGGTATGTATTATTTTTAATAAAAAAGTTGAAGGATTTTAAAACAAAGTCAAAACTAAATTTAAATGTAGAGGGTTCTATTTAAAAAAAATGTATTTTGTAGATCGTTGTATTCGAAATAAAATTTGCTAAGTAATATTTTTTATAATACAAAAAAGGTTGAAAATGATTTCGTCGAAATCACACTCTGTATTGATTTGATTAATCTGTCGCAAGAGGCATTAATTAAAAACTTACAGTTAAACTGATTTGTCGTAAATGAATGTTGCTTCATCTGATGCAAATGAGGACTGTTGGATTTATCCGTTAGCTGACGCACTTGCAAGCGAAGCTCTTCCCTTTGCTTTTGAAGATCGCCAATTTTCTTCTGCACTCTTTCCAAATCAGTTTCAAACGCCACGTTGCTATCTGTCATGTATGGCAGGCTATCTCCTACAATACAAATGAGTATTTTTGGAATGAACATAAAAGTTGTTAGCCAGTGTACCTGGATGGGAAAAATGTGGGGAAGTTCTTGGCTGCTTGGAAACCTGAAACTTTTGCTTCAGTATAAGCAACTCTTGTTCCAATCGGGCGTTCCCTGCAACAGTCTCTTCAAGCTTCTTCGAATTTTGCGCGAGCATAAAATGAACCCGACTTAGTTCGTTTTCCAGTGCCATTTGTTGCCGTCTGGCTTGTTCTATTTCTTCCGGATTATTAAAACCCTTTACTAATCTACACCTTAAACCGCCCAAAGCTCTCTCGATATCTTCCTTGTCTCTCTGTAGATTATGCAAATTACGCGATTCCTCTTGAATCAAGCTATCGAGCTGATAAAGCTGCTTCACTTTCGCTTGAAGTTGAGCCTGACTAGTTTCCAATCTCTCCCACTCTCGTTTTTCTTCGGCAAGTAAACGTTCTTCCTGCACGTGTTGATTAAACTCTATCCTATCACGTATATGTCTTGCTGTTTCGTTACTTTGTTCCATTGGAATGCGATAGAGCGAACCCAATTTCACCATATTGTCGACCAAATTAACCAACGGCTTTCCTTTTTCATACTACAAAGTGATTCCACTATATTTATGCTTGATACGTAAGAAATTAACCATTAATACCTGCTTTTCTAGTTCTATTAAATTTTGCTTAATGCGCTCTAATTTTTGCAAATTTTCCATTCGTTTGTTTTGATCCTTGTTATGCATATTTACCTATGAACAAATATAGCGTGTGAAATAAAGCACCGACTCAATTGCGACATGCTCGGGATGTGCAATTTTTCGATGTTTCTGATTACGATGTCAAATTTCGAAAAATCCCTTTACGTTTCCGATAAACCAAGGAATTTTGAAAATGTAAATGTTGCGTTAGACAACCATAATGCTTAATAGGGTGAATAAAAATAATACGCGTCTCATTAAATCCACAACAACTTAATAATAATAATAATAATTAAAGGTTTATTAACACAAAAAGTTGCAATAAATAAATGAAATTCAACAATGGTGTTGATTACAGCTTCCTACAAGAACAAATCTCTGCACTCTACAAGTTCAAAACGACATTAGAAAAAAATGTTTCAACAATTAATTCTATTGGATTAGGGAGATATGGCGTTTACAAAATGGCAGAAAAATAAATTTTATTTTAAAAAACGAAAATAAAGTATTACTATTTGAAAAACACACTTTCTGCGTTTTTTTTTTTAAATGAGTGGATAAGATTATTTTTCCTAACTAAATTTAATGCAATGCAATGGCATAAAAAATATTTTTTATATTATATTTGGAAACTTCTTTTCCCCTGTTTTTGTTTCAAATGCATAAGGAGTAAAAAAAAATTATTACATAAAATAAATCTAGCTGAAGGCGTTCCTTATTATTACTGTATTTGGCATTTATAATTTTTTGCTTTACTGCTCATTTAGTGTGAACACTAAATACGACTAATTAAATTTATCATTTAAATGTTTAAAAATAAAAATCTTTATTAATAAAATGTAATTGTATAAAAAATAATGAATAACTGTTGGAACAAAAAACAACTGTTTGACAGCACCCAGCAAAATTATTTATCTAAAATATCATTGTCAATAACAAAAATGCAGAAAACGTATTTGTATTTTTATAACACTAATAATAGTATAGTTTATTGCATCCTGTATGTAGAAGAGAGGCAGAAAAATATAAAGAACTAATGATATTAAAAACAGATAAGTACAGTATTAATTTATGAAACTTAAAATTAATGAAATTATTGATAATAGTGAAACAAATGCGTCTTTATTTGGAAAGTGTAAGTTTTATTAAAAAAAAGAAACAAAAAAATTTCTAAATAAAATCAAAAATGAAAAATTATATATTTTTAAATACCATTGTCATTAAAAAAAATGCAGAAAATATGTTTTTATAATAGCAATAACACAATAGTTTGTTGCACCCTGTATAAATCTGCAGAAGGGCGGCAGGAAAAAATAAAGTAAAAAGGATCTTAATAACGGAACAATACAGTATTAATTGACGAAAATTAAAGTTGATAATATTAATGATAGTAGTGAAACAAACATGTAAGTTTTATGAAAAAATTTCTAGAGACAGAAAAGTTTGCAAAATTGCACTCTGTATAAATAAGCAGAAGAGAGGGAAGAAAAAATAAAGAAAGAATGATATTAATATTGGAAAAGTACTGTATTAATTTACGAAAATTAAAATCAATGATATTAATGATAACAGTGAAACAAAAGTGGCTTTATTTGGAAAGTTGAAAAAATTGCAAAAGTTTCTAAAAGAAAAAAATAATAAAAAAACTGCACCCTGTATAAATAAGCAGAACGGAGGGAAAAATAAAGAAAAAATGATATTAATAACGGATAATACTCTACTAATTTACGAAAATTAAAATTAATAATATTATTGATAATAGTGAAACAAACGTGCCTATATCAGTTTTATGAAAAAAAAGGAGATAAAAAAGCTTCGAAATAAAATGAAAAATAGCAATAAATATATATTTTTATGTCATTGTAATCAATAACATTAGATTAAAAAGTTCCATTCCATATTACTTTAAATTGTATCGATAAATAATTGTCAGTCAAATATATTGAGGCAATTTAGACCCTTAAGATACGACTTTTAAAACTTCTGTATACTATCAATTCACGGTCCATACATACTGTCGCAATAATTTAGCAGTGACAAAAAAAAAGATTCATATACCATTTTCATTTTCTTAATAATATTTGAAAAAAAAATTCTCAGTATATCAAAAAATAAGTGGGATTTAACAAATTTCGCACCTGAATCCTTCAAACGCCTCAAAAACATCGACAACTGCCTATATACATTAATTTAGCCCCTCCCATTTGTTAAAATATGTTAGCATATTATTATCATTATCAATGTGTTTACCATACGGGTTAGTGTTATTGAGGTACAGATAGATAGTCAAACCTGTAGTGTCTCAATTTCATTGTAACAAGACTCGATAGCCTGAAAAGTTTGAGCTTGCTGTCTACGCAATTGTATTAACAATAAAACTAACTCCTCGTGTGTTCTACCAAGTAGTTCCCCAGCTGTCACATTCATTTTATTTTTATTTGTTGTCAAATCCTTAAAATAATAAAAAACATGTCCAAACTGATAAAGAAATAGCTAAATTGTTTCGTTAATACCAGATACATACGTTTTCGGACACTCTCGAATCTTCCCCACTGATACCATAGAATTTTGAAGAGTGGTTCAACCTTGAAGAGACGCTGGAACCGAAATTTCGACAATAGGAACCTTACGAGGTATTTCCCATTAACTTACCTGTATTTATTGAAACATTGATCTAGCTCAGTTATAGAACGAGCCTGGGGATTTTGAAAATTTAGCTCCCATTGTCTCTTGGCAGATGCAGCTCTGGGAAACGTATCTCTGTGCGATATGGAGGCTGCTCTTGTATTAATGGATATCGATCCAGAAGCTATAAGGAACTTGTGGTCAGCTCACTTGCAACAATTAATACTAAATATATTTTTTTTAGTTAAACCAAAACTGGTCAGTTAGTGATAAAACATTCAAATTCAAAAAACTTCTTTAGTTTTCACTAATTTGATCACATGTATATCATAAAATTAAATATATTATATAATATATTATAATATTATAATTTAAATTCAAACTCCGCCATTGTTAATTACATCGGTGAAAAATTGCACATTTCAGTGGTTAACTTAAATTTTAGATTAACTTCGGAAAAATTGGACAAAAATCATCTCTATTTTTTTCCGGTATTGTAGGATTGTACACCCTATATACCTTTTTTTTCAATACTATCAATCAACACAAACAAAACCACCATCATGTCTCAGCCACCATATTATATCTGGTAGGGATTACTTTGAAGAGGACAACATTAATTTTGATAAATAAATAAATACAGTATAACGCTAAGACATGTAAATATTTTATATAAAATATATAATTTATATAACCTTTGTTTGTATTTTGTATTGTTGATAGAAATCCACCTAAACCTAAACCAAAGAACGATTCAGGCATTATATACACAGTAAACGGCTAAAATATTGAACAAATCCATTTAAAAATTAGGTATTGGATTTCAAGAAAAATTATTATTATATTTGAATATATTTTCGAAATTTTTAAAATACTTTCAAAACGATTTAACCTCAACTGAGAACAAAATTCACGTAAATAAATAAAATCGAATTTCGAAAAATAAGCAATTTAAAAATAACGCCGACGTTTTAAATGTGATTTTCACAATGATTGTAATTTTCTGGAATGTGTTATTATCACATTGTAGCCATTGTCAGTTATTAATTAATTATAGCAAGTGGGTAATGCCAAGGTCTTTGGTGGTAAATGCTTATTTCATCGATTGATTGAATTTGATGCACCTTTCATTGCGTAAAGCGATGTTTTATAAACTTACATAAAATTTTGCCCATTTATTTATATTATTACATTTACGAAAATAAATTTTTGATTGTTTTAGCCTCAATGTCGCATAAAAAGTTCGATACAAATTTTAATATATACTGTACAATATGAAAATAGTTTATACCTGTTTGCTCTGAGTTGCCATTCTCTCCCATTTCGCAAGTACCTTCACCTAAATCCCCCACCGCGTTCCCTGGAGACACCTGCGTGGCCTTACCTTCAATCTGATCATCAGATGGCGCGCTAGACAACAAGTCCCACTGCCTCAAAGTCTCTCTGTCGATCAAAAAACTTCCTTTCTTCTTTAGTTCGGTTTTGTTGTTTCTCGTTTGCTTCTTACTAGTCGATCCTCTATGAGCTTTGTCTTGTTTGAAGAGGATGTCATTCACGTAAGTTACGTCCCTAGATATTCCGCGGGTACTTTTTTTGTGCTCAGTTTCCGTGTCTACGTCTATGGAATCGAGATCGTCCATAGATTTAGTATGCCTCTGACTTACTAGCCTCAACCTTTCGCGCCAAACACGATCTTCTTCCCAAACATAACTGTCTTGCGATACCACTGGAGCACTGGGGTCAGTTTCAGAAGTAGCGGTTTCATTTAAAACGTTCTCCAAGAGACCTTCTAATGAATAGGACTTACGCACGCTGGCTTCAATTAGTTCAAATTTGTTTCCCTTCCTATGAGGGTAGAAGTTTCTTTCTTCGGGAAGCATGCTTATCGTCGGAGAGTTTGCTTGCTTCTGCCTTTTCAAAGTATCAGACTCGTACAAGTTTTTTTTGTCAATATTATCGGATTTATCCGTCAAATTGAGAAACTCTGCGGACACCGAGCGAGCTTCCGCAGCCAAAGTCTCAGAATGATCTTCTGGCACATTACACTGTTCGGTATCATTGCATTTGATAGGGTTTATAATATGGCTAATATCCCTTTTGCTCCCGTTCACACTTTCCCTTTGATTATTTAAAGTAAATGCGGAAGCACAATCAAAAGCGGACGAATTGCCTGAAATATCGGAATAATAGTAGGGTGCTATTTGAAAATGTTGAATATTCAAATGTTTGTCATTATTATTAACGGGAGTCGATCTATTTGAGTTAACTAGTAAACTGCAAACTTCTGCTGATATAGATGATGCGCTTGCCGGCCTATTTACTACGAGAGATTCGTCAGCCCCAGCAACTGAAATGGCAGCTTTTTTGATGTCACTATTGCTTCCTTGGCATACATGCTTGGCTAGGACAAAATTTTCATAAGCATGCCTCATGCCATGCTTGGTATCATCGAGCTGTTGGGAGTTATCCATTTTAAGGCTAGTGTCGGATAAACAAATATTGTTTATACCCACTAAGTCAATTTGCGATGAAGAGTCCATCGAAATTGACATTTTACTACCTCTGGCCGATTCGCATGTCAGAGACTGGTTGCTAGAAATATCAGACTTGCAGTCTTTGTTATCAGTTTGTCTGCTCTTGGGGTAATATTGCTCAGGGCTATGACACGTTCCTAGATTCATTTCGCTTTCCCCTTGAGTTTTCCTGATGTCTTTACCTGAAAGGTATTCGTCATCGTCTGGTGGTGGGGAGGACGTAGGTATAGGTGGAGGCGACACTAATTCACTATCTGAGCTATCCTGTAATTCTGTAGCAGCCTTACTGGCGCCAAGGTAATAAGAGGCAGGTCTAAAAGTATCTGATAAACTAAATCTCGGTTGGTTTTGATTATCAAATGAATCCAAATCTTTAGAAGCTTCATCATCAGCATCTGAGCTGTCTGACTTGGTGCTCTTATTTGACGTTTCTTTAGGGGAAATGATAATATCGGGCAAGTCGTCACCTGTAGCGTTTTGATTTTTGGAAACTCTGAGTTCCATATAAACAGGTTCAAGGTTTTCCTCTCCAAAACAAACAATTTCATACTGCTGCTGCTCATTTGAGTCTAACGGGCTGGTGGATGTAACAAAAAGATTATTTATGCTTTGGGTCATTTCCACGTAATGATTTTCATCCGGCTCGTTGAATATGACTGTAACGTCGCTATTCGTGTCACTTTTTTGCTGCAGAATACTGGACTTAGGGGACATCGGCATATAATTCTCTTCAAATTCGAATTTCGTGTCTTCAAAGCTATATTCACTCGTTGGACTTTGAAATTCAGACAGAATAGCTTTCACCAAAGCGCCATTGCTACTAATTTCAGTGAGATGCGGACTGTCTCTATCAATACTTTCATTAAATTTAGGTGCATGCTTTGATTCTGGCTCAGAAGATTGTGCAGGCACATCAGGTTCTCTAGGAGCGGTGGTAAGACTGGCATGTGCATGTGTAAGTGAATCAGAGTTATTCAGAAATGTGTCCACGGTCCATCCTGCCTGTGAGTGCATACTTGTCTTGCTTCTCTCCCCATTCTCTGAACCCATAAAAAATTTACATCAAGATAGAAGTTTTCAGAAAATAATTAATTTGTTAGTAAGAGATGCGAAGGTTACTTAAAAATGTTAGTCACAGAAAGATAAGACTTAAAATAATCCAGGCAGGAAGGACCTATACAGACTACCCCCAAAGACCTTTCACCAAATAAAATGCGGTTAAATACACACCTTCGTCATCGGAGGAGTAACTGTTGTACTGCACCAAATGGTGGGCAGGTTTTCTGCTATTTAAATTAGGCCTCTTCTGTTTCTTTTCAATACTGTGGTGACTGCCTTCGGCCATGTAGCTCTGTTCTTTTGTCGCCCTGTGCCCTTGCACTTTCCTGTTCAGGGGTGATTGCAACATTCTTTGCTTCCATTCCAGAAGTCTCTTCATCGATTCTTCTCTCTAAAATCGGAGGAAACGATATAAAAGAAAACAAATTATAACCACTACCTTTCTTTCTCCTTCTATGCTCAGCATTTTTTCTTCCAGCATTGAATCTTCGTGAGCTTGGGCTAGTCTAGCACTGGCGGATCTAATGAACTGCTCTTGATTTGGACTCAGAAAATTATGGTGGCAGTGTTGCTCCATCTTCACTGAAAAGTCACCCCTGTAAGATCCATCATCAATATCATGAGAACAGAGAAGCGTGCCATCACTGAGAACGCTGCGGCTTTGAGCGGGTTGAGGATTGTATCTGAGATCATGTGGAGCAGAAAGGTTATTAGGAGAATTCATATTATAACGTTCTTCATGCCTCTGCTGGTGCGGGTCTATAGGTTGGTATTTGATAGGCAACTTCTGAAGATATTGCGCTGACTTGCGCATATTTTCAGCATATCGTTCTTGACTGTAGAAGTAATTATCACTGTCGTTCTTGCTCGGATTAGATTGTCTGGAAGGTTGAGTAAATTCGTTACACACGTGCGAATTTTTTTCATCTGAATACATATTAATATCTAGACTTGACTTAGGCCTCGCTTGTATTAGTGCCACAGGACTTTCATCACATTCATTTTGATTCCCCTTATATTCTAGAAAATCGGCACTGTGAGGCCTGGATATGGGAAGACCAGCAGCTTTTACTTTCTGCGGATCGTAGCGAAAAATTTCTCTCTGTTTAAACTCGCTGTGCGGAGCATATCCTTTGTAAACACAGTTTGCATTCGGCGGATACCCTTTCCTAAGAACATCGTTGGCAACAACAGGACTCAACGGTCTTTTATACATAGCTTGTTCAGAGTAGATATCTTCATAATCGATTGGGTTGCGAGATCTCATAAATTTAGACCTGCCATATGAGTCTGGAGTTCTCCTATCAACATTTTGAGGAAGACTTGGACGTTCATTATATATATGAACACATTCTGGCTGAGCAATTTGTTGATGGGAATGTAATTGCTTGTCGTAAACGAAGAGTGGTGATTTAGCAATAGCTCTCGTTCCATGTTGCAAACCGAAAGTGTCTGAATCAGGTGTAGGAGAACTAAAGCCATCTGTTAATCTACGAGGTTTGGGAGGAGCATTGACGTACAGTGGCTGATTGTACTGACTGAGTTCTTGTTGACTAGAATTACTCAAATCGGTCATGTTACTAGAGGTATGGGTGTGAAGGGAACCTCTATTCCCGTTATTAGGCTTATTAACATAAACAGCATGGGGGTTTGTTTGCTTGCCCGCTGTTTGCGAGTCTCTGCATTGGTCCACGTCACTAAAATTTAAAAATAATTTAATTCAAGGCAATTTTGCTCTATTATGATTACATACGTATTACTTTGGAGGTTGCAGGCTAAATTTAATACGTGAATCCATCGTAGCATCAGCTCTTGTGAATCAGCCGCTAATATGTAAGTTCTCATATTAACGTGTTCACACTTAAAAGCAAACTTTTTGTTGACTTTATCTTCTGGGCCACATATAGATACTTTATATGAGGGAAGTAAGATAGAACCAAGTAGTTTATCTTCAGAAGAACCTATAACATAATTTTAATTAACGATGTTTTAATGGAAAAAGAAATATATAGTAACGAACAAACTGAGTTCGCCACATTTGACTAGCCGTATAAGGTAAGATAAATACATCAATACATATACAAACAAATTAAGAAATGTCACCCAACCCAACCCAATCAAATATTATTTTGTATTTTCATCTAATAGTAATAATTTTTATTTAGCAAAGTGCGTTCTCTTAAAGATATTTTTGTTATGATTTTATTTTTCAAAATTATCAAAGAACAGATATGAAAAGGAAAAATCAATATACTGTATTTTTCAAAATATTCTCTACAAGATTCTGAGCTGCTTGATCTTATGCCTTTTTTTGTGGAATAAATATTTTTGTTTCTGTAGCGTACTTTGTTAATTTATATTTAATCTTACCGTTGTTTTCAATGCAAACATTCTTTATTAACATTTTTAGAAAACGAAATCCTTTTATTGTTAAAACCTTTTTTTTTATTTGTTTGACTTTTGCAGCAGAGACTTTTTAAAAAATTTTAAATTGTGTAGTTTATATTTTTCAATGGTCAATATTGAAATTTTCGCAAATTATACTGCCCCAATTTATTAAGGATAATGTGTTTTAAAGGTTTCCATGGACGTTGCTTCAAAATTCTTTTAAATTACCTCCAAATTAATATACGTTTCTTTTAAGGAAAAGGTTATAGAGCATACTTCATAGTTTTGAAAATGGTCATTAATAATTTTATACTCCAACGATACTTTTAAAATTGAAAACAAATGAAAAATCCTGAAGTTCATGGTGTGGACAGTGATGTTCTGTTAAGCAACATACGCGAAGTTGAAGTGTATTATGTTAAACTTCTGTCTGTCTGTTATTTTACACATAATTAATAAATTATGTTAAATTATCTTGCATTTGCGTGCTACATAACATGACTTTTGACTTATTGACATATTGACATATTTTCAACATCTCTAGGAATATTGTATGTAAATAGTTACAATCGAAAGATGTATATAACGCACCATCTAACCTTATTCTATAACACTTCAGTGAAGTGATAATGAAGACATAAACCGTCATAGCATGGAATCGAGGACTGAACGGACTATAAAACGGCTAATTATTTAAGAACGGCCAATGTAAATCAAGTCATTACCATTTTAAATATAAATTACTTAGGTCATAAATTTTAAAATTTACCTTTATAGTAAAATAAGCAATATTCGGACAGCACAAACCAGCGTTTTTTCCATAGCATAAGCCCTTCAGAGCCTTGTTTATGTAACCATCCTTGCATAGTCACGCGAGCATCTGGTGGTCTTCTAGCTGATGGACTCCTCAGCTGTTTCTTCTCCCCTTCTTTAACTTTCTGTTTAGAAGCCCTTGAGGTGCTCTCTTTCGCGTTTTCTTTCTGCTCCACCTGTTTCTGTGCAGGAGTTGGCTCTTTATTTGTAGCAGGAGTAAAGGGCTGGTTATTTGTCCAAGGTACGTGCCGGTGAATGTGAACTGAACTATCACCTTGCTGCGCAGCATATTGCGGGTAGTACTGGAAGTGTCTATGTGCAGTAGCGTGGAGCATTTGTTGACCTGGAGATATGTTTAGAAGAAACGGAGGCTGAGGTTGATGCTGATGACTCTTTGGATAATAATGTGGGAGAGTAGTATTGGGTTGATAAACCTGTTGAGGTATGGTAGATCCGAGAGTTGGTTGTTGCCGGTTGTTATTGTCTGGGGGCTGTTTCGCATCTTTTTCCATTTTGTTCGGGTCAAACCTACAAACGAAAGTGAAATAAGGGTTTAAAAAATGGTTTTACTTAATAAGGACTGTCGTGGTTAAGAAGAATTAAGCTTTCTAATTAAGCACACTAGCTTCTTCCCAGCAGTGCTACCGACATACTAGGAAGCAATTCGAAATCATGACGGCCATTAAGCTAGAGTGAAATTGTGCCTTCATCTTTGAAAGAACAGGACTGTAGAAACAAAAATAAAATAAAGAAAGCTCATTCACAGAAACGTCTTTTTTGAATAGTTTTAAGTACTGTAGAAAAATTCAAAGCAATTAAAACATTTGGCGGTCCAGTTAATATACCTATACAGTGTGGTACAAGAAAATGTACATAAATAAAGAAAAAGTATGTCTTGTATTGGTAAAAACACTTTCCATGACTTATCAATCCAGAAGTACACATAAAACTCTTCAATCGTTGGTAAAAATAAAGGAAAAATCTGAAATTATATTTGCAGTGAATATTATAATTTAAAAAAATAACAAAAAGTTTATTGAACGTGGTAACATCGTCATTTTAGTTGAAAAAATTGCTTTATTCACAGAAAAATATTTATAGAGTAATTTTTGAATTTTGAATGTGCTTCATTTGCATTTTTTTGATTCACTTATTTATTTAAAAAAAAAATGCCATAAACATTGTTGCACGTGTTTTACTTTTCAGTTCAAATTTTAAGTTTTCATTAATTCAATTCATCAAAAAATTGAAGAAATCTATTTTTTAATAAATATTTAATAATTTGGTTATAAATATCCTTATCGCGTTCCAATTATATCTAGCAAGTCAATAATAATTATTGTAAGAATGATCCGATAGATTTAACTAACTTTTGAAATCACTATGAAGCGTTATGAAGCAGTGGCCAATTAAAGCGTAATTAAAATCACTCTGAAATTTAACTAATAATTAACTTAAGTGCCGTTTTAACTATAATTATTAAATTGTTTTTATACCAAAGATCGGAAGATCAAAAATTAAGAGAATTCGAAAATTCCAGAAAAATGGCTTCTATATTATTCTTAGCACAATTATTAACTCGTGGCCAATAATTCAAAAGAGAGTTCCAAGTTAAATACTCAAAAATATTTATAGGTGTATCTTAAAATATAAATATATACTAAATATTGAAATTTTTATTTACAAAATTGAGAGAAATTTTTTATGGACAGTAAGTACTAAATATATTGCTAATAAGGTTTTATATTATCTCTATATATATAGAGTGTTTCAAAACGAATCGGCCATAGAAGACTAGCATGTTCTTCGTATCAAAATATTTCGGATATAGAGGGTGATAAAAGTAATTTTATTTTATCCTATTTTATTACTTAGGTTTACGCATTTAAAAATATATAGATGCACAAAAATTCGCATTTGGAGGATGGGAAATTAAATGGTGTAGTAATCAGTTTTTTCTGTTCAGTAAACAATTGAAATCATAGAAGGTATAGTATGTTCTACCTATGTTCAAAACAAAACGAAAATCCTAGTTTTGTTAAGAAAATATTATTTACTGACGAGGTATTTTTAATTTTCATAAAAGACATTCGTGTGAATTAAACAGTCCTCATTTGATATGGGCAAGAAATTTCCAGCAAAAATTAAAAATAAACGTAAATAATGATGTTCTATGACCGTTTGAATTACCCTTCATATATTTGATGAGAGACTGTGACTTATTTTTTGCGCTAATTGTAAGAAATTATCTTAATTTAAACTTTCCTTAAAGATGGATTGACAGAAACAGTCCTCTTCTTGCGAATTTCAATCCAAGGAATTTTTATTTTTGGGGCTATATTAAATTATTGATTTAAAAAGACCCAATAAACAATAGCGAGGAACTTTGGCATTAAATTCAGGACGCTGTTATTGAGTTCCGAATAAAAAACTCATTTTTTATTCCTTCATTAATTACAAAATGTATCGAAGTACATGATGGATAAGTAAAACATCTACTTTTTTGTTTTTTTGGATTTTTGTAATAATTATTAAGTTAGTTAATTAAATAAAATTTTATTTGATCACAATTATGTTTAAGAAATTTTTCCTTATCTTCCTTCCTTTCTTTTCTATTATTCATTCGCAACTATTAGTGAGGTCATTCAAAAGTAATAATAAAGAAAAAAAATTTAAAGTAATTTTTAAAGAAAATATGTATCTTTTTTACTTAGAAAATACCAAAAAATAGCCCTGACTTATCAAAAAAAATATGACGGTATTTTTGCAAAAAAGTTTGTGCAGCTTTCGATATCTAGTTATTACAAAACTAATTAGGCCCAGATGCGAAATTTTGTGGCTACGTTTTTCAAATTGTGAACGAAAGTAAAAAAAAAAATCACCATGTATCGCGGTATACAAAGAATATGTTGGTATTCTATGTTGTGAAATAGTTTGAGGAGGAATCCAGAAGTTTTTTATATAGTATATTTGTTATCTCTTAAACTGTCCTGTACTACAAAGCTCAAGTCAGATTCTACATTCAATAATTTAAAGGTCTACATATTCAACGACTAATATTGATGCAAAAAATAGTACCAATCCCAAAGATGCCACAAACAGGAGAACATCGCTGAATTTTTTTTAATATACGCACGAAAACGCGTTTATTGTGTTGCAAATCTAGGTCACCATTTTTCGTTCTTTTAGGGGAAGCAGTGTTTTCTCGATTAAATATTTGCCCTTAATGCGACTCTTAGGTACATGGTTCGTATGGGAATGTCTAAATTCTTATTCTCACTAATTAATACTCGATACGCACGAAATGGATGGCATAATACCGACGCCAACGTCAAAAAGACGTCGGTATGGTTAGGAACGCGAGGCGAACTGAAAAGTGGTCTTCATTTCGTTTAGACGCCGGCGTCGCGACGCGAATAGGATGTTGCATATTCTACGTACACCGTGGGACACGGAAATCGTTTAATGGAGTCCTTGGTGTTTGTCTTTTTGCGCCTTTAAATACTTAAATAATCATAATAATAATATACTTTGGTTTTGAACACGGTATTGGTAAATGATAAGAAAATTTGGGTATGATCTTTGATAATAAACTTAGATTTCGTACACAGACTTCCAAAGTTCTCCATATTAAACTCGCAATATTTATAAAAGTAAAATAAGTTAAAAAAAACTATCCGTGAAGCACGGGTTCCGAGTGATCTCAATGACTAACTTTGCCTAAATATAAATTACAAAAAGTATAGAACAGAAATTTCACGATTTATACGGCATTTTGCTAGTTTTCTTCACAAACTATGAAGCTGAAACTCACATATTTGTTACATATTTTGTATACATCTTTAAATACCATTTGAAGAACATTTTTTACAGAAAAATGATTAAAAATAAATTAGAATTAAGAAGATCAAGCTTAATTTTTATATGGATTCAAACTGAAAAAAGCAAAGGCATGCATTTTTTGTCAATATTTTATAAAATTTCAAATAAATTTTTAATTATTGCTATTTCAACGGGTAAATTAAGAAGTAATTTTTGAACTAAAATTGAAGTGTTTTGGCTAGCTATTTTACCTTTAATAGTAATATTGTGACTTTTCTTGACATTTTAGTTTCTGATTGACTTTAATATCGTAATTTTTTTAGCAAATATTTACATTACAAGAATGTCCTACAAACTGAAGGACGCTAAATAGGCCGCCCTAGAAAATAGAAGGTAATTCCACTAGTCGTTAGTTTTTTTTATATTTTAATTTTTCATTTATCTGACTACATAAACTAGCTTAATAATAATTAAATCTTAATCCTTATTTAGGTTACATACACTGTAACTAGTTAATATTATTCCCTTTTTCTTTGTTTGCGTGGATACTCTTATTTTTAATACATTTAGAGTTAATTTATATGTTTTCTAAATTGTTTTAAACTCATTATTGATTAAGATGATTTGTAGTAAATATTTCCATATTATGCTCTCTTTTTTGTAACATTTGAATGAAAAATAAACCTCATCATTATTATATTTAAGACCTGTCAAAAATTATAATTTAGTTAATAACGTTTTATTTCTTATTCTAGTTAGTAATAAATACATTAGCAATTTAGTTTTGGTCCAAGATTTATTCTCCACAACAAAGTTTTTGGTTAAAGTTGACAGAATACTTTTGTTTGGACACAGAATTTTTTTTTAATTAAAACATCAGTTGGCACCTAGATTTTATAATTTATGAATATTCCATCTAGGCCTGCCCTTTTTGTGGGTCAAAAGGTGAATGTCTCTCATATTGGAAAAAAATGACTTGTTGAATTCGTCTAAACTTTCACTACGAAATACTTAAAATTAAGAAGACTATGATGAAAAGCTTCTTCTTATTACACTGCTTAATCAGTATCCTCAGATTAGTCACACGCTTTTAAATATTTAAAAAATAAATTTTATGGAAAAATACATGGAGAATTAACAATTATTCTTTAGGTGATATTATCGTTATGTGTCTTTTTCTTTTTTGTTTTATGCTAGATATATATTTGTGTATGCAGATATTTTTGCACTGTAAAATGGAACAAAGGTGGTTTTATTGTAATTTTTTATTTTAATTTATGATTTTATATCAATGGATTAAATTCAGAAGTAATTTTCGAACCAAAATTTGAAACACTGTGTGAAGTGAAGTGAAGACTTTTTTTTGACATTTTAGTTTTTGGCTCAATCTAATACCTTTTTTTTCTTCAAATATCTACATACTACATAAAAGTCGTGCTTGATGTTTATTTTCGGCATTCGTAAATACAAAAGTGAACTGAAGGAAGTTAATTATGAAAATTAGAAGGAAATTACGTTTACTTCCTTTCATAACATTTGTATTAACTTAGGATCCTTCCTATTTTTTAATAACATTTAATTTAATAAATTAACACTATTCCAATGTTCATTGACATAAAACATTTACTGAGTTTCTAAACATTCGCTCTTAACAACAATAATATTTTAATATTTCTCACTCGTAATACCAAATTATAAAAAATGTAACTAGTTGATATTAAACAAAGAAACAAACCAAAACTAACTATTCTTAGTTTTAATAAATTGTTGTGCAAGGCGCTAATTTACATCTTTTCAAATCATTTTTGTTTAATATGACTTGTAATCTTTGTATTGTATTGTATTACTTATTCTGGGGAATAATATGACAATATTCTCCCTGAAGTTTTTTGTACCAAAGAAGTCGCAATAAATTCCTAAGTTCCTACAATTTTCTAGTAAGCAATGGTTTTTTTTTTAATATTAATAGCTGCAAAGACAACTTTATTCTGTGGTAACTTGTACTGAAACTGGGAAAAATATTTTCTTGGTTACCTACTACAGTTTTCATGTTTTGTCGATCGAAATCGTTGGTGATTATTTACCAGCCCCTACAGAATGCACTTCCCCTATTTCTTTAGTGTAGGTCAAGCGAAACTTGATTCAAAACCAGTTTAATTCCACTCCCTTTTCCTCAACTTTAAAATATTTTTTAAGGCTTTTGATTTACACTACTTTTAGCAGTATTATATTTAATTTAGTGCCACTGTTAAAAGGGACAATTGACCGGGTGTTTTTTTTGTTATCATAAAACCCAATAACCTAATGTATAATTAATAATTAAGCGCTACAACTGATAGGAGTGTAACAACAATATTAAAAGGCGCGAAGCATGTGGAATTAAATATGCCGATAACTTCGTCAGACGTTGACGTACAACGTATCGGTCTACTGCTGGTTTACCATATTATGGCTACGGTTTTGCTAATCTATTTATAAGCGTACATAATTTTACACTCATCGTACACAATATTCGATTATAAAGATTTATTTTAAAATTTCGCTAACACAGTAGAAGCCTAGGTAAAGTTCATTAACATGTAAGATTTCTAATATTCGGTATTGACACAAGATAAAATCGTATTTAAGTTTGTGTTGAAAACCCCACAACTTTTAACTTACATTCGCATACGTTAGTCTCGAATAGTCACTATTTAATGTTCATTCATAAAATGAATTCGCTGCCAATACACACAAATTCTATTTTGGAATCGAGGTAGCTCCAAAATTAACTTTAGGTCATGGCCAAGTCCCATTTCCAATTATTATCAATATCGTATTTACCTTTAACATAAAAGATAAGATATCCGTTAGGTAGGTAGTCCGTAGATCAAAGTAGACGTTGTGAAATCATAGGTGTGTATCAACCCAACTGAGGAGAACCACAGACGGCGGCAATGCGAACTTCAATTTTTAAAAGTGCACATTTTTAAACGAACGATTTATTTATGGAAATACGTTTAACGGCTTCGTCGATTTCTTTGCCTTCTTATATAAAGAATCCATCCGATTGAAAGCACACATGACCGATACAGCACAGCACAACTCTTCACAGTACCAGAGGAAACTCTAGCCACAAAAACTCGCGGAGGAAATCTTTAAAAACACAATAGATGTAACGTAAAAAACAGTTATATCTCGATTTGGTTTCGATGAACATAAACGCAAGAAGTAAGGCCAAGTCTAACAGTGGAGAGGGAATGTTGAACAGGTAGGCATTCCATCCCCCCCTCCCTCCTTCGTTACTTTCTCGGTTCGCTCGGCAGTCCAAGCACATTTGTCATGTAACGTTTTAGCAACAATGTTTTTCCGATTGTAAGTCGTTACGTGACTATTTACGTATTCCATTGTTGATAATTAATATGCTGCTACATCCTTTTCTGCGATTTGATTCAAACCCAGAAACATAGTTATGTTTGTTTGGTTGGTATTTGCTGCCTTTGGCTGCATTGTTCGAGGAACCATTGCTTGACTACTGGAGGAAAAAACCCGGTGGGACAACAATGACACTAACAGAACATTATATGTTAATTAGCCAAGTAATATACAGAGTGTATCAGTCAATAGGTTTTTTAAAATAAGCAATAAAAGTGCAAACAAGTTAACATTTTTTCTAAAAAGCCAAAAAAAAAAAAATATTCGCAAAGTTCAACATTACTATGATTTATATCAGTAGTTTTGGAGTTGTACTACAATAGAAGTACTTTTACTAGTAAAATAATAAGTGAAAAGGAGTTATAATTAGTTAAAAAAATAGAAAAATATAGGAGTACATTTACAGTAAGAAAAACTATCCTGATATTGCTCAACTCTAGTGGTGACTCAAGCGAAAAACCCGGTGGGTCAACAAGATACTCACAGAACATCCAAAACATTTACTGTTAAATTAGTTAAGAAATATAGAGAGTGCATCAAAATATTTTAGCAGGACTGATGCCGGTCGATATAATTGTTAAAATAAACAACAAAAGTTCATGTAGACACACAGTATTCAGCGAAAGTCTACGCACGTAAACAATTTTTCTAAAAAGCCAAGAAAATAAAATACTCGAAAAGTTCAACATTGTTATGATTTAATGGTATCAAACACGAATACTTTTTTGGACACTCCTAAATTATTACAAATACACTCATATAAACTTATTACTTTTGAATTGCTGATGTAGGCTTTGACAAAAAAAGCATATATTCTAAAATGTAGTAGTTTTGGAGTTGTACTACAATTGAAGTACTTTTACTAGTAAAAAAATAAGTGAAAAGGAGTTATAATTAGTTAAAAAAAAAATAGAAAAAATATAGGAGAAGATTTACAGTAAGAAATACTATCCTGATATTGCTCAACTCTAGTAGTGACTCAAGGGAAAATTAATCAATCATTTGCAAATAGCGTAGAAAAGCTATAGCTAGAAAAAAAAACGCTAATTAGTAAAATTAATAGATGAAAAACATAATTTTGCAAAATTGTGAAATAAGGTAATATTAACTGATGAAAGCACGTTTAACGTGTGTAAATCGGATGGAATCAGAAACGTGTGGAAAAAAACAGGACATACATTAAATCCTAAAAACATAATTAAGACTGTTAAGTAAGGAGATGAAATCATGGTGGTATGGAATCAGGTGTTGGTAAAAGTGGATAAACATCTGTACCAGCAAGACAACGACAACAAGCAGTAAAAACAAATTAAGGGAAGTTTTATACGAAGAATGGGAAAAAAATAGGACAAGAAATAACACAAAAGTCTATGCCAAGACGTCTTAAAGTTGTCATAATTTTAAAAGGTTACCCAACAGAATAGTATACTGGTTTTATTATATTAATAATTTTTAAATTTTTTGTTCTTTGTATATACCCAACATTTTTTAGTTCCAAATGTTTATATATTTGTTTCATAATTTGGAATAATTTAATGGTTTTCAGAAAAACGTTTAAATATATAAATTTTAAAAGCTTCAAGATTTTCAAAAACGAATGGAATTTTGCTTTTAATAAAACGATGATAATTTTGTTAAACAGAGTCATATCCAAAAATGAATCAAAATAAACATTTTTAGGCTGCTCAAAATTCGCAAACTATTAGAGAAACGGGCTTAAAAGAAAACTAGGGTTTCAAAGTTCTTTGTCTCTATTTTTCTTGATTGTTTTGTGTCCTTTACCTTTTTTAAAATAAAAATAAGGGCTTACGAAGTTATATGCAAAGCTTTTATCAAAATGACTATATTAAATGACAATATTCAAGATTAATTTTTATTTCAAAAACGGTAAGAGATAGGTATAGGAAAACCCGAACAAATTCTACTTAATTTTTTGAGAAAAATTTAAAAATGAAATGAGGTACAGGGGTTTCCATTAAAAACTAAACAAGACGTTGACACTTATTTAAAAGAATTTTGTGACCGACAATGCTTTGGAATGATTAAGAAAAACATACAAGGATGGAAGTTTTTTTATCTGTAGGTGCGTTTATACCCTAAAACCACATTTTTCTTTATGACTTTATGAATTCTAATTACACTGCATTTACGAAGATGTCTGATGCGTTTTTAAACGAAAGTATTCAATTCAACTCTTTTCCAATTTAAAAAAAAAATCACCACAATGTCTTTGACGCTCTTCTTCTTGAATTTAATAGGAAATTGTTGAGGTATAGTCAGACACAAGATAAATGACAATTCTATTATGCTTTCCAAAATACAAAATAACAATTTATTACGTTCTATATCACTTGTTTTTATTGCTGCTCGTACTTCCCCTTCTGAACCGACAGGCATACAAGACAAAAATGATTATTTTCTAACTTACTTGTGAGATAAATAGAGTACAGTTACTTACCCTTTCAGTGAAAACAGCCTGGCAGGGTTAAAGTACTTACTTTAAGGATCAAAGTCAAATACGTCCGTAATATATACGGACATATAATTTAGATTAAATTCTTAACGATACATATCACCTGATGCTAAAATAAACGCTTCTATTTATTCGAAAATACCCGGCAGTATCAATGCTTAATCAAATTTAAAAGTGTCCATTTTCGTTTCAAATAAAAATTTTAAGTTTACATAAATATTCGTTACGGTCCATCTCAGGAAAACTTACTTAATGCAGAATAAACCTTTGTTGGGATGGGTTTTACCTTCTGCGGTTAAGGTACTGTAAAATACTTAAAACTTCAAAGCAATAAATGCACTATATTTTTGGTCGTACAATAACACTGCGGACTTTGCATTTTCAATTCGACTGACATCCATGTTTAATTTTAATTAAATTACGTTAATTAATAATTTAAGGAGATTTGAATGTTATGGTTACGCTCATATTGCCAACTGGGGGAGTTTCAAGGGGACGGAAATTAACTATTATTTGTGGGCACGATATAAATTTAAATATAAACCCAAAAGTAAAGCGTGTCGTGGTACGGAATTTGCCCGACTTGTGCGAAGGAAATCGTGACGAATACACGCAAATCCAACCAGGCTTTGGTGACATTAACATGCCACCAATATAAATTAGTTATATTGCAAAACAAAATGGATCAACAACAAACTAGCGTTACTCTCGATAGCCGCTTGGAATTTCTCAGGACTTACGTCCAAAAATCGTTAAAATTAAAAGCGGAAAAATGGTCCAGGATGATGGCAACGGAAGAACACAAAGCCGTGGTGATAAAATTTTTGGAACGCACGTTTCCTACGGTTTTGGTCATAATCTTAACTCCATCGGCCCAACTGGTACCTTCCAACGGGTTTCCGCTTGCACAATTAAAATCTAAAGGTAAACTTTATGGCACTCGAGGGAATAATTTTAATCGACCTACTTCCAGGAGTGTTTTTCGTCAAAAAGGAACCGTTGCCCATATCCAAAACTACCCCAGGCGAATTGGTGATCGTGGGCGATCTTTCCCCAAAGATTATCGACCAACTAGCATCGTTGGTTGACGAAGTAAGCTAATTGAATTTGAATTGAATATTACTTATAGCGAATTTTGAGTAGATTCTGTTACCTCTGCTGTCTAATCCTTCCAATCACGCCCAATGGCCCGGAATTATAGCCAAGGACGTACACAAACACGTACATAGTCTTAAGAGTACGGTTTATCAGGTCAAAGGGCAAGTAAATGGCCAAACGGTGCTGCCTCTTCCCGTCGGTGTGGAAAGGGTTTTCGAAGTGGAGAAAATCGTTGCCGAAAGTAATGGCGAAAACTGCGATTTGTATTTGAAAAGTAGCATCGAAGGAGTGGTGATGAAATGGACCACCCAAATTAACGATGTGCTTATAAATAATTCCTCTGAGAAATACTCGAATGCTGTCCCATCGATGGGTAAGTATTACACAGTGTAGTGTAGTAAGTTGTAACTGTGGAGATTACAATTAGTTTTTGCTCAGTTTGGAAATACTGTGTGGTATAAAAATTGTGACACCCAGTACATGTAAATAGACATTATGCAATTCTCCTGAGCATGAGATTATCGATATCTGCTTGTGGTAAGTTTTCCATAGATAATCTTAGCCCAGAACGTACATGTTGTGATTTGATTTGTCCTTGTCTTCCTAAAAAATTGGATCTTGGATGTTACTAAAGTAGAACTGAGGGTTTTATTTTGCCAAATGTCTCAATCTATTATGAATCTGATATTGAACCGACCAAAAAAAACATGTGTAATTTTAACCTTTCAAACGTGGTAGTCTTATTTTGCTCATTTACTATTATTTTATTACAATTATATTGATATTTGTGGAACATTTGAATTAAATTGACGTAAAAAAATATTGTGCAAAACTTTAATAAAGTTTTAAATATCAGTGCAACAAACATGGAAACTCTACTTCAGGTAAAATTGAATTTTAAACTAGAATAGCGGTAAAATAACTAGCGACCTTTCATTATAGTACCGATTTCAAGATAAATACTAGGTTATTTATCATCAACTTTCGTTGAATAAAATATCTGATAGAACAGAAGATTATGCGTCTGAATAAGCACATCTCTTCCAATATCAATCTCCTTCAGAAACTCCTAAAAATCGGCATCAATATTGTGATTTTTAGCTAGTATAAAAACAACAACCCCATTTCTGTTAATAATGACCAGTAGAATAGGTTCTTGACACTATACCAGACTTAGTTGTTTCAGTCTATTAGTTAATAGCATTACAAACACTTATATGATATGATACTTCAAGGCTAGATCTCATGGATATCTGCCAATCTGTAGAAGAAGAAATGTTCACATTTATTTATTAGTTTATGCCACCTGTTTCGACAGCACCGTGTATTTCGATTTTTTTGCTATATATGGTATTGTTTTATATATTTTGGTTTTGGTAATTTATATGGGATGCATAGAGTTCAGAGTTATTTGAAACTGTTATTTAGTTATAATCTTATCTATTTGTGCTTGTTTAATATTTCATTCTTTTTCAAAAAATTCCGTGGTATGTTAAGTAGTCTGTGAATAAAATAATAAATGGCATCCATTTTGTGTTTTGAGTAATTATGTATGACTGTGACCGTGTGTGGGGGTTTATGGTAAATGGAATCTAATTTGTTCTGTAATTTAGTTACAGTCAAGTCCAGAAAGTTTTAAGACTTATCTAGTTCTATGATAAATTTTATATAATTAATCCTTTTTTTTCCTGATCTCTGGTTTCTCGTGAAGTCCCATTGTCTGTATTATTGGTGTATGTGACCAACATTGCGCCAATATTGCAGTATTATGACCAATCCTCTTTCTAATTTCCCGATAGGATATCCCAATTGCTGGTCAGTTAAAAAAAGGTGTTGTTATTGGTATTGTATTGTAGGATATGCTGAGTGTTGCAATTTTCTATTTCACACAATATAAACAAAAATCGACAAATATCGTAAGAATTGTGAATATAATTTTTATGCAAAGTAGAGCCAATGTTCATTTTAGAAATCCAGTTTTGGAACCAGCGCCTCAAAAACTTACAATACATTTATCAACAATTGAGAGACCCCAAAGTGAAGAGTATGGCGACTATACTCGAAAAAACTAACAGCGCTTATTACGCCTGCTTCAGAAATCTGTTCAAGAACGTTGTGGTAGCTCTGGCAGAAGCGAAAGACATCTACCTTCACCTCACACCTTTAAAAAAGCACATAGCTTTACTAGAGGAAACCGACTTCAGCGAATGCATCCCATTGTTGACACCGACAATTCACGTGATCTGTCTTATATGGGCCACATGCGTTTCATACGATCAAGTGAAACTAATCACTTTGCTTAAGCAAATATGCAACTTGCTAATTGCAGAGGTGAGTTCCCATGCTTCAGAATTTCGTTGTTCGGGAATTACAAGGTTCGACCTACATTTTGGCTTTCGTGTGGACAGCGGTCAAATAAAATTTAGTAATGTTTATTAGTTATTTTATTTTCTTTTCAAACGTTTAAGATTTGTGTGAACTATATTTTTTTAGCTTTTAATATCTTTCACAACTAATTGTATTTCTAACTCTCCTCTTATATGATGATAATGAAATAGAAGAAACATAGATATTAAGAAAATGTAATATACAAAAATACAAATAGAAATTCTTAATCCACTTTCCCTGTTTGGTATTGATTATATTATGGAAAAGGTGTAAAGGTGTCCCGGCAGAATACTCTTAAAAAGGAAATTATTTTATTATAACGATATAAAGATTAGGCATTATACGTACTGCGTACAATTAGTTTTTTAATACACCTTATAAAGAAATTAAATTCTTCGTCATCTGAGGAACTATCATCTCCTTTTGACAATGTGAGATTAACTGGTTCCATTTTTTAAACGACATGCTTTTTGCCGTTTCACTCGGAGTGATCTTTTCCTCATTTAAGATGAAGACACCTCTATTTCCAGGTTGATGGTCCATATTTTTTAAGAATTTTTTTTATTTGATTAGTTACTATATGGTCAATTTAATAGGGTAGAAGAAATCATTATTTATTTTAATAAAACATTAAAAATATTAAAATTTGAATATAATTTAAAATTTATTAAAATATATTTTTCAATTCTTTTACGATACTGTCTGGATATTCGTCCAAGTTCTTGACAGGCTTGTCTTACTCTGGCAAAACGTTCTTCAACCTTCATAAAAATCGAGTGTTTCTTCTTCTTCTTCTGTTTTTTCCTCTCCAGCCCATAGAAAATTTTTGGATTAACTATTGATGAATAATTCTAAAATTGCGAATGAATGCACTATTTAGCTGGAAATACATATCCAATAGCACATTGACAGGAAGAATTCGTATACCATCTCAAAAGTGAACTAAACGATTAAATAAAAAAGCACCTAGTATTTGGTTTCCAAAAATTCCACACCAGACTCAGAATTTTTGAAAATATTGATATTTACAATTTACAACCCAGTATCTACAATTTTGCTTTATAATTACCTTGGGCAAAATAACAATAATATAATCTGTGTTTCAAATTTAAACTTTAGTTGAGTGAGTATCTTAGAAAATGTGACCCATCAGCTGTATCACTGTGAAAAACTCCAAATCTGTGATTTAGATAGCCAAAAGATAAGGGGTCCTTCGTTTTAAAAGCGATACACTGTATAATAATATTGTCAAAAATGGTGGTAGCACCGACTAAATACTTATTTATGTGATCTAAAAAATATTAGGAACACAATTTCTACATTCAGCACTTCCCTGAGATTACTTACTATTTGTTTGTGTACCTCTACCGCATTTGACAAATAGTCTTTCCTTTTATAATTCTTGATTCTATAAGCAGTTTCTTCAGTAACCTTGTTTGTGAAAATAAATAAATAAATTTATTCCGAGGACTATTTTTAAATAACTCTTGGTAAAGTCAATTTTTTTTTCTTCCACGACATAAAATAAAGTTTAGATATGAAATTTGAGGTTTAATCTTGATGCTATCTTTTTTTAAGAGATCATGGCCATTTTTAACTGAATAACTGCATCTTGTAGAACAGGTGTCATTTATAAAAATTTACTCAAAATAAGGATATCTTAGAAGGTAATATAAGTAAGATTAAAATGTAACGCAATAGTGAAAAGCGAAATTGAGATACCAGGTATAATAAGTAATTTTGAATTGAATATCAATCTCATTATTTTATTTCCACAGGTTTAAAGCCAATTACAGAAAGTATCACGCTAGATTTCAATATTAATTAGGTAATTTAATAACAATTAGGTTAATTCGGTCAAAAATTCCGGGTTTTGCTCAAATTGAGAGAAGGATTTAACATAAATGTTAAAAATAATTAATAACAATAATAATAACAAAGTTCTTTATTTGAATTTTAAATAACATAACAAGAAGTTAACATTTTGACAAAAAGTAGAGATTCAAAGATTAGTATACTGTTAGTATACAACGAACCTGAGAAAAGATAAGAAAAAAGCATTTTATGAGTTGTTACTTATATCAAGCAAAAATGATTAGTGTTCCCGAGAGAATCGTAATATTTTATTTTATTTAGCACACAGTTACCTAGAAATTACTTTAGTTTGTTCATCCAATAGTTTTTGAAAAACACGAGGTTGCTTAAGTTTTATATTTTATTTAATAAATTATTTAAACATGAAACAATATTAGATCAGGATTATCTATATCATAGCGATGGCTTATTTTATTAAAGATTCATGGAGGATATGTTCTACTTAGTATTTTTTGTTGTTGTTGATTTCATATTTCCTTTGTAACCTTATAGTTAATTCTTATAGGTTTGATTGATTACCTTGATGTTTTCAAAAAAGAGGCCTAAGATTCCCAAACCTCGATTTAGGTAGTTAAAGAATAATTCAGGTGCATCTTCCCTTGTTTCGAATAAACATATCTCCAAAGTGCAGAGTTGCAAACTTATAATTCTCAATCTAATAACTGTATACAAAAAATGTTAACAAATATTTGTTTTAGGCTAAGAAGTTTTTAGATCCTACAACACTATTCCATAGCGACATAGACGAAGCTATGCAAAGACTAGATTTATGTTTAAAAACTTTGAAACACTTTTTGAACCTTTTCAAAATATACAAATGTAATTTGCACAGATTTTCCAAAGACAAGCAAGTTAGTCCATGGAATTTCCATGCCAATATGGTGTTCAGCAGGTTCACAGCGTTTTTGGAAAGGCTCAGTACCATTAGATGGTTTTTTAACACTGTTTTGGAATTTAGTAAACTAGAGAAAGTGGAAATCGGTGGTATCAACGGTAGAATGCTAAGTTCTAGAATAACCATCGTCTTCAGTGAATTCCAACAGTGCTATTCAATATTTTCTGGAAAATCATACGACGTTCTAGATCCGGACGATCCGTCATTTCTGAGTGACTTTGAAACTTTCAAACGAAAAATTTTCGATATGGACATGAAACTGGCGGCTATTTTATGCCAGGCTTTTGAAGATTGTTCAAACTTAGACAGTATATTCAAGGTGCGTCTACCTAAGCGATAATAAATATCCAAAACTGAGCTTCATTTCAGTTAATTAATATATCCGGGTGTTTATTAGAAAGGCAGATAATTAAAGAGGAATTCACGAAGAAATATGTTCACATACTCGACATGTTAGAATACGAGGCCAAATTAATTCAGGTAAGCATGTGACATTAATTATATATAAATTAGTTATTGCACCAGAAGGTTAATCCACAGTTGCACTGAAACGGTAACGAGTGCAAAAGAGGTCTATTAAAATCAGCTTTGCGGAAATGGCAATTTAAAAGCTTCTATTTACGACACCAGCCCATCAAGAAAGATTTGTGACAAAAGTTCTACCTGTGACGTTTGTCGGTCGTTATTTGGCACTTTTAATTTCTTATAAACAATTTGACGAAATTCAGTAAATTATATAGTGTGCCTCAATCTTTATGGAACCTTCCCCAATACAACTTTAACGATGCTATTACCTATTGTTATTGGTAAAGCCATCAACAAAAAATTGGGGGGTGGGTCACATATATTTCTTTCTTTTTGAGAGCTAGAGGCTGGAGAAATTCAATACAGTACATTATAAAAATTGAGGACTCTTACATTTCTATACAAAACAACATAAATCTTATGAAATTGAAATTGAAACAGAACTAGATTTAGACATTTCGAATAGAAATGTAATTATCTATACGTATTCCTAGCTATGAATTTATTGTATATATTTAATGTCATTGTTTTTTCTTAGTGTTATTTAATAAGATTATTATTACCTACATAAATACATACTATATATATATATATATATATATATATATATATATATATATATATATATATATATATATATATATATATATATATATATATATATATATATATATATATATATATATATATATATATATATATATATATATATATATATATATATATATATATATATATATATATATATATATATATATATATATAATTAAATATCAATCTCATTATTTTCACTACCTGCTTGTCACTTTTTGGGCTCTACAAGATGACTTTAGCAGATTTTAAGTAGGACGTTTCGCTTCTAGGAAATTATCATCAACTATATTTTTTCGTATGATCCTTGAAAAAACTGCACCATGTATTTAGCATTTTTTATTATGAATACATGATAAATAAAAAAAGATAAATAGCTAGATCATATTAAACGTCAATTAATTAATTAAAAATAACTTATTACACTATTTTATATAAAATTATATACAAATTCTGTTAAATGTGTTCCAAAAATCCCAACCCACATATTAAACCCAACACCCGAGGATTATCTTCCTAGTATAAGGTATAAGATAAAATGAGCAATACATTTCGCGATTCCAGTTGTACGTTCTACTTTTCTACTGCTTCCGGATTCCAGTTATAGCTAATATATAATTTATATACTGCTTAAGATTTGCAGTTAATTTTCCAAAAATTTTTGAACTCGGTTGTCCTCTATCTGGGTTATTATTTAAATACATACGCCTAGCTTCAAAAGCGTTACTATAGTATAAAAAAAGCTTGTTTCATTTTGAATAGCAAAATAGAACCAACACCAAAAGGACGCAACAACATTAAAAAAGGTCATGTACCGTTACGTCAATAAAATTATTTTGAACAGATTTAAAAATGATTATTAAAAATTATACGGTACATTTGAATCAGGTAGTGCTTTGAACTTATTATCTCATTGAGTTTTGTTGAGTTGGGAAAACAACACTCAAAAATTCACACTATTCTAATGTGGGTTAATATAAAAAATTGCTTGAAACCGAGATTTTCTTATATAAGTAAACTGATTGAATAAGTTTCCTGGCCTATTCCGAAAGTCCAAACTTAAGTTTTGATTTTTAAGGGCTACAATTTTGGAAAGGTTCAATTCAATCAACAGAACATAAATAATGTACCAAATTTTAGTGAAAAATCTTTACAGGTTTAGCAAATTTTTACAAAAAAAACTCAGCAAGGTTTCACGTTTAACACTCCTAACTTTAACTTCATAAGTTTGCTTGACAGAGTATATAAGTGTAATAAGTGAAAAAAAATTGATCATGCCTGTTAACATGCTACATAAGGTCTTCATGAAATCGATTTGACAGTAGAATTAACGAAAAAATTAATGAAAAAATTAATACCAACAAATTCTTCAATTTTTAAAAAAAAAATGAAAGCTGGTAATGGTGTCAAATAATACACACAATTTTTGATTTTATTTTGATAGGGTACCATCTGAGTTAAAAGTTGCAAAACGGCAGTTTTGTTGCGACCTGATTTCTGATGTCAGATGTTTTATTATTACTGCCCTGCTTTTAGGATGCGTTTGATGACCAAACGAACCATTTCAAAAAATTCGGAGAATTCAAAGTAGACGAATACGCACCTCCAGTGACCGGAACACTAAGATGGACTCGAAATTTAATCGAACGAATTAAATCAGTTCAAACGAAGTTACAAGGATTTCAGCATCCGTGAGTTTCATCCATATCTAGTATAAGCAGTTTTGTCTATTAAATTTTGACGATTTTGTATAAAATAAAACGCCTAGATCAGATTCAGATGTGAGTATATTTTGTACTTGTAGTATCACTTTATTATCGTTTTTAAATATCTGTTTGGACACTTTTGAAACTATCAGGGTGTTATAAATAATGCAGAATAATTTGCATTGTCCATAAAGGTCACGCACATCAAAAAGCAAAGTCATAACTAATTAGACTTTGCTTAGCGTAATAGTAAAAATGGCTTCTGACAATTCGACAGTTTGCAGTATAAATGATTTGATGCTATAGCAACAGCTCCTTCGCGTTGTCGTAGAGCTTAAATTTTAGCATAATGGAGGACTCGAGAGCTATCAGCGTCATGAACAAATTTGAAACTATGGCAGAGGAACTCAATCGAGTTGCTGAAAATTCACTGAAAGATTGGGCAGAGAAAATACCATTTCGTATTGAAACTAACATACGACAATCCCTTCTAACGCAGAATCCCAAATCGAAAGAGTTGTATTTGAATTTTAACCCCCAAGTGAATAGCAATTTACCCCATGGGAAATTAAATATTTAATGTTCGTTTTCTAGCTCTCCGCCATTCTGCGCGAAGTTCATTATTTGAAACTGATGGAAATCGCGGATATTCCAGAATTGGCACTAAAAATTGCCGAGAAGGACGAACTATTTCGGAAATACAATTCGAATTTGACTTCGACGATCGCTTGGTATAATAAAATTAGAAAAACTGCGAAATCAGTGGAATTTTGTTTGATCCAGTCCGAAATACGCGAAGTAGACAATTTGATACTTTATGGACAGAGCGGTCTTCACTGGAATTCCGATGGTATGTTTTAGAGACAAACTTATAAGTTAGGTGGTCAGAGTTAAAAGAATTAATATAACCAAGTGTAAAGAAAATATTCTACCAAATAATTTGCGAAATGATATGAATCACTCTGTCAAAAATAATAAAATACCAGATCAGGAATTAATCATTTTCTATGAGAACAATCAATTAGAAAATGTCGATCAAGAGCTACATTTTTTACATTGGCTGCAGAGGATGAAATGTTTTACATGATAAAAATATGGAATTGTACTTAATGCGATTAAAGTATTACAATAATTTCTTTTACATTTTTTTGATTATTTTCTTCATAAACATTAAGCGATAGAATTCGAAAATGGATTTGAGAAAAGGTGCTCTCTAGTTTAAAGTTAGCCCAAATTTCCTTTAATTATAATGCGTTTAAAGCTTCAGAATTTATTGTTCCCAGATCTATCTAACACACCTTTAAACGATTTATTACTTTCTCCTTTCAAACGACCATAGTATATATAAAAAATAAATTCATTGGCAAAGCGTAGGTGTGCTTTGTTATTAACTGCACAGCTTTGGTCGGAATTTGAAACATTGTATGCATTAGATCCCACGGCGTTCTTAAACAGGATAATATAACTTTCACCAGCGTGCATTGCAAGTTAATTTACAGACATCAAATGTGATTTTTTGAGTAACATTTTGTTATGGGCCAAATCTTAACTCAAAAATTCTATATTTTTTTTTAGTCAAATGTTTGTAATGGGAATGGCGTCAAGTGACATGGTCTTAAAAAAGCTTGTTTCAAATTTAAATATCAACAATAGCTTTCTTGAAAAATTCAAAAATCAAACGACTTTCGATTTATAATTTATTTTGTGTGGGTGAATGGGTTTAGTGGGCTCAGGTATAAAATCATATTCCACGCCTAAAATAAGCCCTAGTGTTGTATATAAAAAATATAAATTAACCGCAGGCCCTAAAACGAATAGTTCTTTATGAATGTTTCCGAAACAGGTCCCTGATCATAATTTTCAGTACCTGTACAGAAATTTGGGCAAAAAAATTAAAATAGGGAATCGATACAATACAGTGTGTCACATTAAAGATGAAGACACCCCTATATTTTGGCTATCTAAATAAGCACAGCACAGCCACATAGGTTAATGGATGACATTTTTTAAGATACACTGAAATTTTGGTCAATGCAAAAAATTAATAAACGTTGATATTTTGATTTGACAAATTACTGTACCATGAAAAGAAAAATCTCTGCAGTATGGAAAACTTAAGGTTCAGTTTTAGGCCCTTACTCTTCATATTTTATGTAAATTGTATATTGAAAATTTTACCTGGTACATTTTTTGTGATGTATGCGGATGATCTTTTCTTGTTGTCGAGTGGAAATGACGATGATATCTCAAAGAAGTGCTGTAGGGTACTCGATAGATACGTTTGGAAAAAATAATCTATATTAAATAAAATATAACATAAGTTTTCGTAACTATCTAATTTATCTAATGACGCTATCTCAAGTAGAGATACTGTAAGGTTTCTAAGATTGAATTTCGATTAGTGTTTAAACCGCAAGTGTCATTTTAACTCAATAGTGTAAACTACCTTTACATCTTATAGGAGTTTATTTGACCAGTAGAGATTTCTCCCACTGATTGTATGGGTGTTCCTATTTTTAATAATCTGCCCTTGTAGGTAATAGACAAACGTTTTAAACCTTGGCTATCTAAAAAACAATCAAAAATATTTTTGTTATCCAAAACATTTTATAGTGTTGGTGAATCTTTGTACCGTTATATATTTAGACTATTCCTATGCAATTTTGGGAAAACAAATATTATCATTGATATTATTATTATCGGTAAACATAACATGACAAGAAAATGACCTTTGACCTGATAACAATAATCTAATCTTTTATTCTTATCACGATCTTTTAATGTAAGAATTTTAGTTTATAGGGCTTGATTTTGTCATGGATAATTTTATCCTTACTAATATACAGCCGACATGGTAAATTTCGAAGGTTCATGGGTGGATTTGCTGCCAGTGTATCGATGTGTAGGGTGAGCACGGATATTTGGCGTTAAACTCAGCACCAACTGCTACTAAAAGAAAAACCACGAAACAATCGGATTGTTTCGATTTTTGTGATCACTAAATAGAGCTTCATGTAATAAACTAAAAGTTTAATCTGATTAACGTGAATTATTTCACAAGTGTACGTTCCGCTGCATAATAGTTAATCGAATAAAAAAAGAAAATTATAACAATTTTGTGTAGGGATTAACCAAAATATTGAAAAAACTAAAAAAGCTATGCTGTCATGACATTTGGTCCTTTTTTTTCAATAAACCAATATCTCTAATATAGGCGTGCCTTCACCTTAACTGTATAACTAAACATTTTTTAGAATTGTGGAATTATATTACCAACCTTCGCGATTTAGTTAAGCGTGTCCAGGACAATTTGCAAGAGGCCCAGCATAATTTAAACAGTATCAAGGATTTGTTAATACCGTTCGCGAGAAAACCATTATTCGAAAGAAAAGATGGCAAACGTGATACGTTTTTATGCATCGATGATCGAGAGGAAAGAATATCCAAGAGGCACGTCGAAATTCGACTAGCAACTCAGACTATTTCGACTTTGCTGGCTGCGAATATGAAACTATTTAGAATCGCAGAAAACAATATCAGCGTCGATTGGGTTAATTATATTGATTTTGTTGATAAAATTGTATTGAATTACTTGTATCAGTCCGTCGGTTGCAGGTACACTGTGGTATATATATATATATATATATATATATATATATATATATATATATATATATATATATATATATATATATATATATATATATATATATATATATATATATATATATATATATATATATATATATATATATATGATGACACTATATTCCGGGATATCATCCGTTCGCTCGTTGAACTCCGACTGGAATCCTGCATCCGACTGGAATCCTGCAAATCCTGCATCCGACTGGAATCCTGCAGACGTTTCGCCAAAATCTCACTTGGCATCTTCAATGCTCGCGCTCCGAAAACACTTCGAACACCAGTGTTTTCGGAGCGCGAGCATTGAAGATGCCAAGTGAGATTTTGGCGAAACGTCTGCAGGATTCCAGTCGGATGCAGGATTTGCAGGATTCCAGTCGGATGCAGGATTCCAGTCGGAGTTCAACGAGCGAACGGATGATATCCCGGAATATAGTGTCATCATATTTTTCCATCCGTGAATCAATACGTGAGAATATATATATATATATATATATATATATATATATATATATATATATATATATATATATATATATATATATATATATATATATATATATATATATATATATGCGTAGAAGTTCCAGCACCCATCATCCCAGGATTAATAAAAAAATAATTTAATAATAATACATTTATTTTTCTACTAGGACATATATAGTTTACAATAAAATAAGAACCTACTCCGATGTACTACTAAATCTGGCGAGTGTCTAAATTGTTAGTAAACTGAAGAATACTACATACAATAAAGCAAATTTAGCAGAACTACATAAGTACATAAATGTACTGAAGCAAGCGATTGGCAAGGATCAAATTTCAGTAATGCATTGATAAAAGAAAAGGAGCTTTTGATTATTGCTTTTCCGGGAATAGTTACAAGACGGGATAATGGTTCAAAGTGTATTATTAAATATATAAACACAAGACAATGCATTGAGTATGAAACTGTTGTATAAAAATGTTTAGAAATCAAGAGGTATACATAAAAATATCAATAAAAAATTATATGTGGAAACAGAAAATCACACAACTTGTGACAAAAGTGAACAAACAAATGTCTTGTGCTAAAAAAAATGTTTTATCTTATTAATTTTTAATCCGATTGGTTGGTTATATATATATATATATATATATATATATATATATATATATATATATATATATATATATATATATATATATATATATATATATATATATATATATATATATATATATATATATATATATATATATATATATATATATATATATATATATATATATATATATATATATATATATATATATATATATATTGTTTTTCTATAAAGTTAGACGTGTCATAATGTATATTTTCCAGTTGGCAAAACATGATTAGTGAGTTCTACCATACTTCTTCTTAATGTTTGGTTCTTGTTTTATTTGGTTTGCTGTATTATATTTATTATTATATTACTGGGTGTTGCAATTTCTATGACACAAAATACATTTTCCAATAATACTAACGTGATTTTACTACCTGCAGTGTTTTTAGTTTGGGTTACATTAACGAGCATATGGATTCCACCAACAACTTGCCTCCACTCTTTGAAGTGTTACTAAACCTAATGGAACCAAATATAGTATTCGTACCGTCATTAGACTCTAATTCTCCTCAAAGTTTTCGAGCAATGATTACCAACATCATAACAGATATCGTGAAAACGTCAGAAATCATCCCGCGTTTGTCAAAGAGAGCAAAAAAATCTTACAACGATGAAATCGAAAACCACCAAGATATCGTGGACATGAAAAACGACATCCTCCAAAGCGTGGATAAAGCGTTGGAGGAAGCTTACGAATTCTGCAACAATTTTCAAAACTACTCGTATTTGTGGTTGGACGATAGAGAAGAATATCTAAACCAAATATTAACTTACGGCAGGCAGTTGAGCAGCGAGGAGATTGAGCTGGTAGCTGCCAAAGATGTCTGCGCTCCGCCTCAATCGCCTCCTAAAATGGAAACATTTCGGGAGCAAATTGATAATTTTGAGACGTTGTATGGCGAAGTGGAACAGATACAGGAAAAAGAGATTTTTTTCGCGTGGTTCCAGGTTGATATTAGACCTTTTAAGCAAGCACTTTTAAATACCATCAGAAAATGGGGTGACATGTTCAAGGGACATCTGGTGAATACGGTCACCACTAGCCTTTGCGATTTGGGGCAGTTTATTAGGAAAGCAGATGAAGGTCTTCAGCAGACTGTGGTCGATTACCAAACACTGGTTAATGTTATGGGTTATCTTCTACAAGTAAAAGAGCGGCAAGCTAATACGGACGAGATGTTCATTCCACTGCGTGAGACGATAGAAGTTTTAAAATTTTATGACCAAGATATCCCTGAAGAAGTAAACGTATACCTACAAGAACTGCCGGAGCAATGGAACAACACCAAAAAAATCGCCATAACTGTTAAACAGCAGTTAGCGCCTCTGCAAGCTGCTGAAGTCACATGCATCAGGAAGAATATATCACAATTTGAAGTCAAAATAACCCATTACAGAGAGGTATTTAAAAAATATGCGTTTTTTTACTATTCATGTGCCGTTCCATACGAAACAATAGACAAAGTCGATAAAGATATGAGAAAATTGGAATACGGAATGAGATCAATACACGAATCTGGTTCCCTTTTTGAAGTGAATGTACCGGATTTTAAAGTTTTGAAACAATGCAGACGCGATTTGAGATTATTAAAGGTATTCGAGTTTTTCCGTGCCGATTGCTGATACAACCAGCCACATTTCAGCAATTATGGGACTACGTACATATCGTTCACGCGTGCGTGAACGACTGGAAAACTACACCATGGAGGAAAATCGATGTAGAAAATATGGACATCGAATGCAAAAAATTTGCCAAAGAGATTCGAATGCTGGACAAAGAAATGAGGTCTTGGGATACGTATAATGGTCTGGAAGCTACTGTGAAGAACACTTTGACATCATTGAAAGCAGTTGGTGAGCTGCAAAACCCTGCTATTAGAGATAGACACTGGGATCAACTAATGTCTTCTACAAAGGTAGACTCACGTTTTATGCGTTTGTTCCACCATGTACATAATGTATATAAATTCATGTTCAGTGTATATAACATGTTTCTTTTTATTACCATGTGTTACAGAACCTTGCAGCTTTACCTCAAGAATTTAAAGTAAGTACCGGGTACTGTATATAATGTAATGTGTCTATAGTAGTTCAATTTCAAATTAAGTAACTCCTAGATATTTGTACTCTTGGCAATATTTAATGTGCATTTTAAATTGTAGATCTCCACTAACATATAGATATTGGGTTTGTTTTATGTTAACTGCAAGGCCCCATTTCCCATATTTTCGATGAGTTTGCGCATACCATATTCTCTTTATCATTTGATATTACTGCTTGATAGTCTGCAAACTGCAAGGTGTATAAATAAAAGTCATTAAGGTCAATCCCCATTCCGCGTATTTTCCTTTTCCATTGTTTCAGATACAGATACATAGATATTATACAGCATCCCTGTCTGAGGACTTTATTTACTGCGAATTCCTTGGTGAGAGATTTATTTCCCTAACTTCACTCTTGATGTTCTTAAATTATACACAATGAGTGTGGGATTGATGTTTGTTAGGATTTTCCAACGTCTTGTTGTCGGTATTGTATCGTAAGCTTTTTAAAGATCAACAAATATTATGTGTATTTCTGTTGAGGGCCATTTTCTCAATGATTAGCTTGTTCTCATTACAAGTCCTTCCAGCACGGAACCCACTCTATCAAGTCTCGTAATAGTCGTCCATATAACCTACTCATCATACTACTCATTGAAAGTTCTCTGTAATTCTCACAATCTTCTTATTGTCTTTATTGTAAATTGGGGTGATATAAGATGTTTTCCATGCTTCTGGAACTGTATTTATCAAATGTTGATAAAGACACGGTGTTGTCGAAGGAATTGTCATGTCATAATATATAATTTCGTGAAAATCTGAACTTTTAGTTCTTATTTATTTTGGGTAATTTGTACTACGGAACTATAAAACACACTTTGGAGGGTGAAACAAAAACTTTTATACCAACTTTATCTAGTCTTCTCTCTTCACACTGTTCTTGCATCCTGCTTACCTTCACCTAGAGTAGTAAGAATCGAGCTTCAGTTTCGACATTTCTAATCAAAAAGAGCACAAGCCTTCAGCACTTGTCCGGAGTAGACAAAAATTGCTGAATTGCTCTTTAAAATGCTGTTTCAGACTAAAATCGTGATGGATTTCAATACAACTTTGGCGGACTTGCTAGAGTTAAATCTCCACGAGTGCGAAGAAGAAGTAAAGAATATAGTCGACAAAGCGGTGAAAGAAATGTCAATGGAAAAAATTTTGAGGGAGCTACACGCCACCTGGTCTACGATGGCTTTCGAGCATGAAATACACCAGCGAACTGGATGTACTTTGCTGAGAGCTAGCGAAGAGCTTATCGAAACTTTGGAAGACAATCAGGTTCAATTGCAGAACTTAATAACTTCCAAGTTCATTGCCCATTTTCTCGAGGAAGTGTCTGCTTGGCAAAGTAAATTAGGATTAGCGGATCAAGTGATCAGCGTTTGGTTTGAGGTTCAAAGAACATGGATGCATTTGGAATCGATTTTCATGAGTTCCGAAGATATTAGGAAACAACTTCCAGAGGATTCGGCCAGATTTGACATTATCGACGAAGGATTTAAAAAGCTTATGAAAGATATGACTAACGTGTCTAATGTTGTTGAAGCGACGAACAAGAAAGGGCTTCTGGAAGTATTGGAGGACTTGCAAAGAAATCTCGTGCTATGTGAAAAGGCACTCGCGGTGTACTTGGAAACTAAAAGACTGGCGTTTCCTAGATTTTATTTTGTTTCTTCTGCGGACTTATTAGATATACTTTCAAATGGTAATCAACCCCAACAGGTAGCTAAGCATTTAACCAAGCTCTTCGATTCCATCGCCAGATTGGAATTCGAAATGGATGAAGATGGGAAACTAAACAATATAATAACCGCAATGTATGCTAAAGACGGTGAATTTTTGCCTTTTCACGTATCCACAAATTGTAATGGACCTGTAAGTTTGAATCGATAGTTAAAATTATCAATAACTGACATTCTCAATGTGTCTCAGGTAGAAGTGTGGCTTAATAGGATACAAGATTCGATGAGAGCGACGTTACAGCATTCTATTGGTGAAGGAGTCTTGTCATATGAAGAAAAACCAAGAGATCAATGGCTTTTTGATTTTCCAGCGCAAGTGTCCCTTTGTGGAACACAGATTTGGTGGACCACCGAAGTAAACATAGCATTTGCTCGTTTAGAAGAAGGTTACGACAACGCTATTAGAGACTATTATAAAAAACAAGTATCCCAACTAAGCACTTTAATTTCTTTGCTACTGGGCGACTTAACCAAGCAGGACAGACAAAAAATAATGACGATCTGCACTATCGACGTCCATTCTAGAGATGTGGTGAGCAAACTGATACAGAGCAAGGTCGAAAGCGCTTTGGCGTTTCAATGGGTTTCTCAACTTCGGCACAGATGGGGCGAGAAGGAGAAACATTGTTTTGCCAACATTTGCGATGCTCAGTTTACTTACTGCTATGAATATTTGGGCAACACCCCACGGCTTGTGATAACTCCCCTGACGGATAGATGTTACATCACACTCACGCAGGTTAATTAATGTAGATATATTATTTTGCACGTTGTCTCAAAAAAATACTTCAGTCTCTACATTTAGTAATGGGAGGAGGCCCTGCTGGTCCGGCTGGCACTGGCAAAACTGAAACTACAAAGGATCTAGGAAGGGCTCTTGGAATAATGGTCTATGTATTCAACTGCTCCGAGCAAATGGATTACAAGGTTAATACTTAGTTTTTATTATAGTTCTGCTTTACATAGTTAAAAATTTTAGTCCTGCGGCAATATCTACAAGGGGCTGGCCCAAACTGGTGCTTGGGGATGCTTTGATGAGTTCAATAGGATATCGGTAGAAGTACTTTCAGTCGTAGCAGTGCAAGTAAAGTCTGTACTGGATGCTATTAAGAATAAAAAAAATACGTTTGATTTTATGGGAGATATGATTCAATTAGTTCCCACTGTTGGGATATTTATCACGATGAATCCGGGATATGCAGGGCGCACAGAACTACCGGAGAATTTAAAGGCCCTTTTCAGGTACAAACCCTTAGTTTAGAAAATCACAAAGCTTTGCATATACTTTCCTCAGACCATGTGCGATGGTAGTACCAGACTTTGAGCTGATATGTGAAATTATGTTGGTCGCTGAGGGTTTTCAGGAAGCTAAAATCCTGGCAAGAAAATTCATTACACTTTACACACTTTGCAAAGAACTTTTATCCAAACAAGATCATTACGATTGGGGACTTAGAGCGATCAAATCGGTCTTAGTTGTAGCTGGATCTCTTAAGGTAGCTGCGTTAAATTTGCATTTGTAAACTTAGTTACTGAGTTTATAGAGAGGTGATCCTGGAAGACCAGAAGAAGAAGTTTTAATGAGAGCGTTAAGAGATTTCAACATACCAAAAATCGTAACCGATGATACTCCGGTTTTCATGGGATTAATTGGGGACCTATTTCCTGCTTTGGAAGTACCCAGAAAACGCGACGTGGAGTTTGAGAGAACAGTTAAACAAGCAGCGATAGACTTAAAACTGCAACCAGAAGATAACTTCATTTTAAAAGAAAGACGTTAAATTTATTTTAAATTTTAGCTAACCTTTGATCTTAAATTTTCAGGTGGTACAACTGGAAGAATTGTTGGAAGTTCGCCACTCTGTGTTTATCGTCGGAAACGCAGGAACTGGTAAAACGCAAGTCTGGAAAACTCTATTCCGCACCTATACAAACATCAAACGTAAACCCATATTTAATGACCTGAATCCAAAAGCTGTTACGAATGACGAGCTTTTCGGGATCATTAATCCAGCGACTAGGGAATGGAAAGATGGATTACTTTCAGTTCTCATGAGGGACCAAGCGAACCTAAGTGGAGATAATCCAAAATGGATCATTCTCGATGGCGATATCGATCCAATGTGGATAGAATCTCTCAACACCGTTATGGATGATAACAAAGTCCTCACTTTAGCGAGCAACGAAAGGATAGCTCTAACTCCAGCAATGCGTCTAATTTTTGAAATCTCCAATCTGCGGACAGCAACCCCAGCGACAGTATCAAGGGCGGGAATTCTTTACATCAACCCTCAAGATCTCGGATGGAATCCGTAAGTTGCACTTCTTAAAAGCAATGATTTGTTTACGACCGCATATTATTAAAAAAAACAAAAACTCTTCAAAAAAGAAGTTGTTTAGGTTCACTTATAATTTGGAAATATCGGTTTCTCCAACTGAAAGCCTTTGGGATTGATTTCCTATTGGAAGGAGTTCTACTTTAGTGGTATGTGTTGATATGTTAAAAATAAGTAAATACAGGGTGGCAGAAAACTAACCCCAACAATTTTAATGAAACAATCGTTAACAGTTATTTTATCGTATTCGGTATTAAAAAAATGGTGACTTGGTCTAGAAATATTAGCAAACATATTAAGTTATTAGCATAAGAGTTTGTAAATTTGTTTTATTTCTAAAAATTTAACTAAATTTGTCAAAAACATTTCCCAAAAAATTACAGATAAAATCTCATTTTTATTTCTTTTCTGAATATTGAAAATAAAATATTATTTTTTAAATTTAAGATTAGCATTTATTTGTTATTTTCTTTTTTTTATAGACTTGAAATAACCGTCTTTTTATGTTAAAATAACCGCAACAAAAATGACTAAGCTAGGTCGCATAAAATTGTCAACCATTGATTTTCAAAATTACACCAAGCTAAAACGGTGACCTTTGGGTAACGGCCGATTGTTTTTTATTACCATACTTCTGAATCCATTACAATGGAACCTTTTTTTAGAGCGGAATAAGCTAAAACTACAAAAATGAGATGTTTCCATTTGAAAAAAAAAAAAATTATTTTAAACGTTGAAAGTTACTTGTTACTTCTAAAAGGAAATCAAACGTATATAAGAAAATGTTTTATACATATATACTATATAAAATAACACAATTTGCTTGTTCATGTATATGAACCTCTATGTCTAATAATATAATATTTAAGAAGTATGAGTGCATTTAAGCAACTTTGACCTGAGCTCATTAGAGTGTGTTTGCAAGTATGGAGGTGGCCCTTATTAGTAACAATAACTTTAAAATGACCTTAGGGGGTGGATTACATGAATTCAAACCTAAATTTTTTCAAACATAATGGGCCTACAAAAATCTTATTATCAGTCAAATCCACAGCTTTACAAAAACAGCTTAAATAAAGATGTTATGCTTTCTTGTCTCTGGAAGAATCCAGAATCAAAAGGCTAATGCCTTTTTTCTTAAATGTAAAATAACTAAATGTGAAGATGAATATAATATTCCTAACCACATCAGACCATCAAATATGAAAATAACATTTGACATCAAAAATCTTAGTAACATTCAAGTATAAAATAAAACCTGTTAAAAAACGAATGCTGAGTAATCAAGTTTGTTTTCTACAATAATGACGGCAGTCAGAATAGGTATGGTGATGCCATATTATTAGAAAACTACAGAATGACGTCATTACTGACGTCATTGTGTAGTTTAAACCTTTACTAGGTTTTCCTGTTCATAAAGAACGTAAAAATAGTTTTTGTATGTGAAGGTAGAAGCCAGAATATAACAAATTACCAAAAGAAACTTATTTATATATTATGTTTTTGCTTAGGAGTCGATGATGTCACTAATAATTCGGATTTTACTACAAACTCAATGTGTACGTGTGTGTATTATATGTTATTTACTTCAACATGTTCATTTTATCGTAGCTACGTTACCAGCTGGATTGAGTCGCGAGAAAATGGCGCTGAGAAGTCAAACTTAATAATGCTGTTCGATAAATATATACCAGTATGTTTGGAAAACGTTCGTACGAGATTTAAAAAAATTACACCCGTACCAGAGACTTCCCATATTCAAATGTTATGTAATTTATTAGAATGCGTTTTAACCCTGCAAAATACCCCTCCAGAGTGTCCTAAAGATTGGTACGAATTATATTTCGTCTTCTGTTGTGTTTGGGCATTTGGATCTGCCATGTTTCAGGAACAAGTACATCAATGATCTGTCACACTAGTAACATGAAGTAAAGCATGGTTTTTGCAGGCCACCGACTATAGAGTGGAATTTACGAAATGGTGGGTAAATGAGTTTAAGACGGTGAAATTCCCTTCAGTTGGCACGGTGTTTGATTACTACATTGACGACGAAACTAAACAATTTATTCCATGGACCGAAAAACTGGGCAAATTTGAAATGGACCACGATACGCCTCTTCAGGTGTGTTAAATTCTTATTTATTATTGTTTAATTTTTTTTTAATTAGCAGGTGCAAACAATCGAAACATTTTAAAAATATTTTCAATTATACGGGGTATTTCATTCATTACAGATAAAATAAAAGTGGTATATTTACATTTTAAATTCAAATAATTCACCGTTTGCTCAAAAATACGTTGTAGTTATTACTAAATAACAAAACTAGGGAATTTTTGTTTATATTTCTCAACATTCTACTACGATAATGGAAGAAATCGGAATTGTATAGCAAACTTTTTTGAAGACGTGAGTGCGGTAAGTATGTGGAAATTTGAGTTATAATTTATAAAAAAGTGTTAAATTGTGTATTCAACTAATTAGTTAGTTGTATTTTATAAATAATCATTTTATATTTATTTGCTAGTTCAAAGTCTTCAGGGTTATTTTTTGGTTAGTTAGTAAGTTTAAAATATAAATGTACCACTAAGTAATGCATTTGACTTTATTCAGGTCTATTTATAATATTACAAGGACAGCAGATTGAAAGATATAGGAGGTTAATAATAATAATAAAGAAAGTGCAAATAAAATAACATCAAACAACGATGATTAATCAACATAATTAACCAAAGTATTCATCAAATGGATACGATTCTAGTCTCTCTAACATTTCCCAGATAGCTTTCTTAAAATTTATGAATATATATTGTAATAAGAAACTTATAATATATATTGTAATAAGATCCTTTATCACCGATGTTTTTTACTCAAATTACTTTGCTAAATTGAAAAATAGCAATGTCATTTGATTTACTAATCAAATAGGCATGTTGAGAGGCAGAAAATAGTTGACATTTGATGACATCTGGAATTTTATTATGGTAGCTATGGTCATAACCGCTGCTACATATGTTGTTTAAAGTTTCCCGGTAACCCATTTCGTGTCATAGAAACTAAAGGTATTTACTGAGTATTTTCCTTTACATAGTTTTTAAAAAGAATATGAGCTTCCGAATCCCAAAAGTTTGACATTACAGTTATTAAGTGTCTATTATAGTAATTTACAAACTTTTTGGAATCTTCTGGAAAGCCTGCAGGATTTCTGTTAATTTTTCCTGTAATTTAAGCCCAAATTGACTATATGCTTTCCAGTTTATTATCGAAATATACCAACCTCTTTTCGAATTTTGTTGCTGTAAGCTACTTAATTTTTAAACATTTGTATAGCATTTTGATAAAAGTGGTTCTATGCAGAATCACAGGAAAACATGTTTATTTTTGAATTTTCTATTTTTTCCGCATAAGTCATCAGTCTTATGAAAATTTAAAAACAATAACATACAAAAAACGTCTTAGAGGAATCGTAAAAAATCCTTTCTATAATTGAGAATATTTATAAAATATCTGTTTCTCCACTTTATAGAACACCTATTAAGGCTTTTTTTTTAGAATTACGATAAAGCAGGGAAGCATTTCAATATTATGAAAATAAGTAAAAAACTGACCTATCAGATTCGATGTTTTGGTTCCACAGTCATAATGCAGTCATTAAATGCTATTTATTTCATTTTTCGTAAGATTCTTATCTGGAAAGCATATGGGGTAACTGCGAACTAGGCATAAAATTTTTCAAAAATTAACTTACAGACAGGGTTTTTAAAATGTAAATACAGTAGAAAGCAAAGTCTTCGAACTGTATGTAATGAACGAAAATCAACTAAATATATCTTAAGCAGTTTTTGAAAACTCCAAAAAATCCACTCAAGAAATTTCGGGTTATAGAGGTGTCAAAAAAAGCTCTGAGTAAGATCACGCCAAGTGGAGTCCTCATTTACCACTTGATCATAAAAATTTAATATTTAAATATATTTTTTAAAAGTACTTGTGATGGAAAATTGATCGCCCAAACGATTTTTTAAAATTTTCATTTTAACAACATTTTTTTTTAATGAAAATTTTAAGCATTTTTAATTGAAAAATGGATTGAAATCAACCGTAAGAGATAAATTTATGAAATTTTCGGCATTCATGGTCAAATGTCTATATGAAAATTTAACTGATTTCTTGGTAAAAAAATCTTGTTTTTTTATCGTTCACATGCTTTATCCATTTAAGTTTAAGATTCAGGAAGAAAACTGCACTGCTCGTTATTAGTTTAAACAAAATGAATTTATTTATGACAGCGCGCCGGGCGCCGAGTGCTGTGGAAGCGCCGCGCTGCCGAGCGTCTCGAACTGCATTGAAAATTTTATCAGTGATAATTTAAAATAATAATACAATTTTATTATTATTTATGTTATTTTATTATAATTATTATTAATAAAATTTTATTTTTTTTAACAATATTCTAAAGAATACTATCATTTTATTAAATTATTTTTACCAAACAGTGTAAATTTAAAAAAAAATAAACGACTTTAAAGTTTTAAGGCCTTTATAGTCTATATTTATTTTTTCTAGGTAATTTAGTAAATTATTATTTTTAAATTTACTAGTCAACCCTCCATCAACAACCCTCTGTTAACAAAAGAAAAACCGCTCCGTTACGATTTTCATTTGTTTTTCGCGTATCCTAGTAAATAACAAAATCATTTTAGAAGTCCTTAATGTCTATTCGTGACGCAAAGCATGAAATAATTATTAAAAATAAAAGCTGAAGTGTTGTTGAATTGTGTTTTTTTAGTTAATATTTTAGTATTATAATTTTTAACTTAAAATGGGCCGAGTGAATTATGAAACTATGTGATTAAAAAATTAGTTTCAATTATTATTTAAATATAATTTTGAAAAATTAGTTAATCATGAAAATGATTTTGGTGTTGATGCTGATTTTACTGTTTTCGCTACATCTCCTGACAAAGCAGCGTGTGATGGCTTAGCAGGGAACGTAAAAAGACAATCTTATCGTGCTAATCTCCAAAGTGATAAAAACAACCACATAACAACCCCACTTTCCTGATTTCAGTTCTTTTAAAAAAAATACCAACTACGATTTGAACGCTTAACTACAATAAAAAATACTCGCCAATTTCATTATTACAAGCCATTCGAAAATTTTTCACTAGACTGCATTCTAGTTTCGGAGGACGAAAAAGTATTTATTTTTTTAAAAAAATAAGTTTAAAAAAAAATAAAAATTACTGACAACAAATTTACAATTTAATTATTTAAGCTTGTTTGTTCTTTTCAGTATGTTATGATTGTTAATATTGTTAAAAAAAATACAATTTTATTAGTAATAATTATAATAAAATAACTTAAATAATAATAAAATTTGTTTTATAATAATGTTTTGTATTATTATTTTAAATTATCACTGATAAAACCTTCAATGCAGTTCGAGACGCTCGGCGCCCTTCGCGCTGTCACAAATAAATTCATTTTGTTTAAACTAACGACGAGCAGTGAAATTTTCTTCAGAAATCTTAAACTTAAATGTGTAAAGCATGTGACCGATAAAAAAACGTTTTTTTTTACCAAGAAATCACTTAAATTTTCATTTTTATAAATAAATAAATAAAAAATAAACAAATAATTTTAAGTCGTTAATATATTCTTAAAATATAGACATTGGACTATGGACGCTGAAAATTTCATCAATTTATCTCTTACTGTTGATTTTTAATCCATTTTTTAATTAAAAGTGCTTAAAATTTTCATTATAAAAAAATTTCTCTATTAAGAATATTCTGTATGCATATGCATTAAATTTTCCAAAAGTTAAACTCCGTTGCGGTTAGTTTCCAAATAAAATATCCTGCTTAATGATGCCGTTGTATTTCATGAAATATTTAAACATTATGACCCCGAATACAGAACATTGAATATGAGTGGTAACCAAAAAATGTACAGAATTTTATTAATTCGTTGAAGTCGTTGGTGTATACTTCACCTAAGACCTCTCAAAATTACTACAAAACGCAGCAAAGCACTTAATATACAGGGCGCGCGATTTAAACTAAGCGATTTTAATGTTAGTATTTCATCAAAAAAACAGATGCTTCGATGTAACATGACACAAACCGCAATGCATATTGTAGGCAGTGCTCGTCCATACTGCAGAATCGATCAGAATTCGATACTTTCTCGATTTGCTGATGAATAAGCGTCACCCCATTATGTTAGTAGGAAACGCGGGTTGTGGTAAAACGGTATTAGTCAGAGAAAAATTAATAAACTTATCGGAAAATTACGCGATTGCGAATATTCCGTTCAATTTTTATACAACATCGGAGATGTTGCAGAAGATATTGGAGAAGCCTCTAGAGAAAAAAGCGGGAAGAAATTACGGCCCACCAGGAAATAAAATTTTAATTTACTTCATAGATGACATGAACATGCCTGAAGTAGACACTTATGGCACAGTGCAACCCCATACGTTGATAAGACAACACTTAGATTATAACCACTGGTATGACAGGAATAGATTGACTTTAAAGGACATCCACAACTGTCAATACGTGTCCTGTATGAACCCAACGGCAGGCAGCTTTTTCATTAATCCAAGACTTCAAAGACATTTTTACGTTTTTGCTATTAGCTTTCCGGGCACGGAAGCTTTGACAACTATATATCAAGCTATATTGGGGACCCATTTGACAAACTCCGAATACAAGTTCTCTTCGACCGTTGTTAAATTGTGTGAAAATACAGTCGCGGCATCTGTAGCCCTGCATCATAAAATATCGCAAATATTTTTACCGACGGCGATAAAGTTTCACTATATATTTAATTTAAGGGATATGTCGAACATTTTTCAGGTAACCGGCCTTACGTGAGGTTCAGGCTACTGCGAACATAGTCCAACTTAAGAGACCTTTTCCTTCCGAGTTTGACGCCCGCCTACAGAGTTTACGAAAGGGGATAGACATAAAAGTTGTATCGTCTCTTCTCTGTCTTATCTATCTATCTATCTATCTTTATATTAGGAGCGTATCAAAGGAACACGCTATATATTTAATTTATTTTATTTTTTTAATATTTAATATTTTTCAAAGCACACGACACTATAAAACAACTTACAATTCTTCTGGGTTGGTTTCAAAAGTTATGAGAAAATGGTCAATACAAAAGTTGTATAGATTGTTGGAATACACTATTTAAAATTATTGTAAAGTATACAGGGTGCCTCAAAAACGCGTGACTATTAAAACATACATTTTTTTTAAAGGAAATGCCCTATTCTTATATTTTGTTTTGACTTTGTTTTGAAATTATTCAACTTTCCGAAAACACTTCGAACACTCACTTCGAAGTGTTTTCGGAGCGCGAGCATTGAAGCTGCCAAGTGAGATTTTGGCGAAACGTCCGCAGGATTCCAGTCGGAGTTCAACGAGCGAACGGATGATATCCCGGAATATAGTGTCATTTAATTCACTCATATCTCTAATAACAAAAATACATTTAAAAAACTTTTTTGACTTAATTTTTTTTTTATCAGGAGGAATATGGTATTATGTTCGCAGCAGCCTCATTGTGATAAGTTCCATAAGAAAATCTATTCGTACCTATTTTAGGGTTTATTGTTCAGCACTAACGATTGTCTCACGCAACCCTCAGACTTAGTGAGGCTATGGGTGCACGAATCCCAAAGGGTTTATGGCGATAAACTAACCGAAGAAAAGGACATCGATGCGTTTTCGAAATTGCAATTGGACGTTTTCAAGAAAAATTTTGAGGTATTGCAGTCGATATCAATATTTGACTTGGAATTTACGTACTGCTTTCATTTCCAACAATACACAACTAAGCAAAACCAAACAACACTGGACGAATAATTGCTAGATTGCAGATTACATGCAGGGTGTTTCAAAAACTAAATAATAAATAATAATAAAATAAAAATTTTAAACAAATATTTTTGCATTAAATTTTAGAATTCCAGTTAAATAAAAACAACCATAACTTCTTAGTACCTTAGTGTATTTATTAGTTATTTAAAAAAAACACTTTTTTAAAGAAACTTTAGGTTCCGCTACTTTCTGATTCGTAAAACCTTGCAAAAGGTTAAGGACGCTTTGCCACGTTGATAGAATTGATATATTTAATTCAATTCAATTTAATTTATTCTCACAGTTTTGATTAATATCTCTAAGCAGTGCTTAAAGCTCCTCAAGAAAAGTAACTTTGAGTAGCTAAGGTACAGTGTGGGTATAAAATTTATATAAATATAAAAATATTTTTTACAAAGAAACTCAATTTATTTGCAGGTAAATCATGAATGCAGGATTTTGCAGTCCTATATTGGTTATTCTGATATATGTGGTATATAATTCTCATAATTATGCACTTCAATTGATAAAATTATTGATACATTAGATTTACGTCTATTATTTAGTGCTTTAACTCAATAAAGATATTTAGTTCTTTGTATAGCCTAGTTGTGTTAGTCTAATGATTAGTTAAAAACTAAGAAGATACTACAACTTAATAGCAAAAATCTACATTTTTCTACGGATAACAAGACTTTTCTTAAATCCAGATCTTACTACAACAAATCTTGAAATATATATAAGACAGCTGGACTACATAAAAACGAACAATATGTTCGAAAGTTTGGGGGAACAAAATTTAAAACTAAGCGTCGCTTATACGCCTCCATCTTTTCATAAACACAGAGTTTGAGAATCAATAAAGGAATTTTTTTTATAGGGATCTTCATATCAATTTGCTGCTTTAAGATAGTGAGGTAACTAACTACATAGATTTAATTAATAAATAATGCGCCAAGAAGCATTATCGATCATGTTGTGTGTGATAGATACTGCAACTTAAATTAAGAGAGAAAGAAAAATTCAGGAAAAAAAAATGCAAATACAATGAATAAAAATAATTAAAAGAATTTAAATTTTAAATGAAGTAGAATTTTGGGTTGTTATTGAATTAAAAGTTCGTTGCTTATTTTAATACGTTGTAATGTCCTTTGTTTTCAAATATTGGGTATTATCACTTTTTTTTATAAAAAATTAGGTTTAGTCACTCATCGATATAAATCTAACTCATCGACTAAATAAGTTTATTAATTACTGACGCTTTAAGTAGCAAGTAGAAACCCATAAAAAATTAAATCATCTCCTCTAACATAAATATTCATTCTTAATTACGGAGATTGTGATAAAAACTTTTTTTTGCGATAGAGTCAAAACAACATCTAACAAAAAAGATTTGAATTTGTCCTAGCTTTAAAGTAGAGTTCATTCTAAGTATCTTTAATGTAAGAACATTTTGCATAGAACGGGTTTTAAAATTGAAGATGGCAATGAACTCATCTGGGGGTCCCTTCAGAACCTGAAAAACAATTTCCAGCATTTTCACACTTCCAGATTCGCTTTTTTTTTTTTAAATCAGCATCTTAGAAAATTCTTAGCAAATCTTAATCGAGTTGTAAGCCTCAGGTAACCAGAGACCAGGGGAAGAATGTATTAATTTACAGTATATGATTTTAGGAAATCGATGAATCGGTGGTATTTGAAAAACCCATAATATATTGTCATTTCGCTGGAGGTATTGGAGAACCCAAATATATGCCCTTGATAGAATGGTCCACATTGCAGAAGCTTTTAAACGAAGCAATGTCTAGCTACAACGATCTCGTGGCAGCAATGAATTTAGTTCTCTTTGAAGATGCAATGATGCACGTGTGCCGAATTAACAGAATCCTAGAATCGCCTAGAGGTAGTGCCCTTCTCGTAGGTGTAGGAGGAAGTGGTAAACAATCGCTAGCACGCCTTGCCGCCTTCATATCGTCTCTAGAAGTATGTCAGATTCAACTCAAAAAAGGCTATGGGGTCACGGACCTCAAACACGAACTATTCTCGTTATATCTAAAATCCGGCTTGAAAAACGTAGGCATTATGTTCCTTATGACCGACGCGCAAGTGCCCAACGAGCAATTTTTGGTTCTTATAAACGATATGTTGGCAACTGGAGAAGTATCGGACATGTTTCCAGACGACGAAGTGGAAAACATAATCGCCGGAGTGAGGAACGAAGTGAAAGGTGCGGGAATGTTGGACACCAGAGAAAACTGCTGGAAATTTTTCATAGATCGGGTGCGAAAACAACTCAAATTGGTACTGTGTTTTTCCCCCGTCGGATCCACTTTACGAATACGATCCAGAAAGTTCCCGGCCATAATCAATTGCACACAAATTAATTGGTTCCACGAATGGCCGCAAGAGGCGCTCGTATCAGTCTCGTTGCGGTTTTTGCAAGAGCTAGAAGTGTTGCCGGATGATTTGCGAGAAGCCGCGTCAAAGTTCATGGCTTATGCCCATACTTCCGTCAATGTCACGTCAAAAATTTACTTGCAAAACGAGAGAAGGTATAATTACACCACGCCGAAGTCGTATCTCGAGCAAATTAACTTGTACGCGAAATTGTTGCGGCAAAAATCAAAAGAACTGTCGTCAAAAGTAGAACGCTTGGAGAACGGTTTGGACAAACTCAAAAATACGGCGGAGCAAGTTGACGAGTTGAAAAAAAAATTGGCTTTACAAGAAATCGAACTCAAAGAGAAAAACGACGCTGCTGATTCGCTAATTGAAATCGTCGGTATAGAAACCGAAAAGGTGTCGATTGAGAAAAAATTGGCTGACGAAGAGGAAGAAAAGGTAGCGATGATAGCCGAAGAAGTAGCCAAGAAGCAAAAAGATTGCGAGGAGGATCTTCTAAAAGCGGAGCCTGCTTTAATCGCGGCCCAGGAAGCGCTGAATACTTTAAATAAAGCGAATTTGACTGAGTTGAAGTCTTTTGGATCGCCTCCGGGTGCAGTGACCAACGTAACTGCCGCTGTGATGGTATTACTGGCACCAGCGGCCAAGATACCCAAAGACCGAAGCTGGAAATCCGCAAAGCTGGTAATGGCAAAAGTGGACGCATTTTTAGACTCCCTTATCAATTACGACAAAGAAAATATTCACCCGGAGATCATAAAAGCCATCGAGCCCTATCTGAAAGACGCTGAGTTTGAGCCCGAGTTTGTAAGGTCTAAATCGACAGCTGCGGCTGGCCTATGTGCTTGGGTGATAAATATTATCAAGTTTTATGAAGTTTACTGTGACGTGGAACCTAAAAGAAAAGCTCTTGCGGCGGCCAATGCGGAATTGGCAGCGGCTCGAGATAAGCTCAATAGCATCAAAAATAAAGTCGCAGTGAGTTTTTTCGCCGAATTTTTCGGAAATCTTGGCCACAAATCAGAAATTTTGCGCTATTGTACCCTGCCCTAGTTACTGGTTGACATAGCTATGTTTTTTATGATTTAGTTTCTATAAATCTAAACATGTACTGGGTGGTCAGTTTAATACAAAAAAAATCATTTTGCAGGAGACAACTTTTGTAATCAAATTTTTACTTTATAAGACTCATAGATATGGAGATAAGGCTACTCTTAAATCGGCCACCCTGTACAATGGTTTAGAAGCTGTCAGTTTTAATTCAATATAGTTCCAGAATTGTTCAATAAAGCTGGTCTTCACTATTTCTTTAGAGAAAAATTTGTTACTTCCGCGCATATCCGCCCGGCCCGGTCTTGCTTGAAATATTTTTTCAAAAAAAAATTGTTTAATTTTGATAAATAGGTTTAGTTTATTCTTTCTTAGGCAATTTTGTTGTACTTATTTTTATCTTTTATATTTTTTTGATTTGGATACAAATTCCTAGTACTTCTGAAATATAATTTAAATAAATTGCCTTAGAAATAAAAACTAAAACTAAACTAAAGAAGAAAAAGAATTTTGTTTTTTTTTAAAAATGAGGTTTGCTAGTCGGATATTTCAGCAAGAATAACGGGAGTGATGAAGATTTGATAGTTAGATTCAAAAATAATTTGCAAAGTATATCCAGTGGTTGCGAGGTAAATACAGAGCTTTGGTATATAATAAGCCACAAAATTCTTTTTGCTAGATCTGAAATTATATTTCATTAATCCAATTGCTCAGGAACCACGAAATACAAATGTTTTCGATAGAACAAAACATGAAAAACAATTCCGCTTAAAAATTCTGGCAGTATCCAACAGAAGTTATTAAAAAGTGAGGAGGAAGATTATTACCTTAAATAGGTAGCTTTATATTAGTAAAATTGAGAGAGACTTAATGATAATTTAAAATAGCTGCATTTATTACAGTTCGAAGTGGTAAGTGGTTGGCTCAAAATTTTGGTAATATTCTCAACAGAATGGGTAATGGTCATGTGTGTCAGCGGCAGCGGGAAGTCACAAGATTTTTTTTTTAAATTATATCTGCTTTAATTACAGAACGAGTGAAATAATAGTGGAAAAAGGCTTCAAAGTCCGTTGGCGCCGGATTTTTGGCCTAGATTTTTCCCAAATTCGCCTGGGTGTGAGCCACTGAATTCCTTAACGAGCTCTTTGTAGTCGCTGGAGTTGCAACTTGCAAAATTAACCGCGGATTTCGAAAAAGCGACTCAGGAGAAACTACTATGCCAGCAGGAAGCTGACGCTACAAATGCAACTATAGCTCTAGCCAATAGGCTAGTTGGAGGTCTCGCTAGTGAAAATGTGCGCTGGGCGGAAACTGTCAATAAGTGAGATACTATAATTAGCATACCGTGTAATATAAAAATGCAAAGCCCAGTATAATTCAAGATTCCTTGACAATTTTTGGTTTTTAAAATTGCCATCTAGGGATTTCTTGGTATACTAATAGGTCTACGACGGTATGAAATGCTATTTATAGAAAATATCCACAATTTTTTACAATTCAATAAACAGAATGTGATTTTTGAATAACTAGATCTGTTTCAACATGACATTTCCAGATTTTCTAATTTAATTTTCTAAATTTTTTTACTTACATAAAATCCGTAAGTTTTGATAATGGCAAATGGTGCTGTGTAATAAGCTGTCGTCACATATGCAAAAGCAAACGGGGCAAGCGATCATTCATTTATGAGAATTCAATAGGCATTGAAATTTGTCCCTTTTTATCAAATGTAGGTAGGACCACTGGGTTTAAGGTCAATTTAGGTAGTTTGTCTATTATTATGCGTTCAAAAATAATTGCGACAAATACCGGAGAGCCAAAAATCTGGTACGAATCGGATGTGAAAAGAAATTTATTGCAGTAAATTTAGTATTTGTGGATTAAAAGGTTTTCCGTAACGGTTTTCTACTTGCTCTAATCCGAGCTTCATCAACATTCTGTATACTGTTGGTATTTCCTTTCCAAAATATTTTTGCTGGTCTGCATAGCCTTCTTTTCAGAGGTCTTTTCAATTCTAATCAGTCTTTCAACAATTTCAAGTATCTTAAAACTACACACAAACACACAGTTGTAAACATTATTAGCATGTACAACTGAAAATTATTAAAAAGTATACAGTGTGGCTCAAAAAAGCGTGACGAGTAAAACATATCGTCGGTATACAAGGGAAAGTGGGCAAGTCCAAATTTTTGTAGAATTTAATTTGTAACAGTAAAATGTTCAACACGTAATATATTTTTACAGAAAGAAAGAAAAAGAAAGTTGATATTTTGCAATTGTTCAAGTCTATATGTAAAAAAAACGAAAAAGTTCTCCTGATATCATTGCTCAAAGAGTAGAATGGCTGAAGATCCAATTACTCTGATATGAAAAAGGAACATAAAATTTAATATTGTTCAGGTATAATTACGATGAAGAATACAAAGTTCAAAATGTAACAGGAAAAGGAAAGGGTAAAACCAGTAGTACGACGAAAAAATCAGATTTAAAAAAAATTGCTACTCAGAACCATTGCCAATATCCAAAAACAAAAAGGATGCCTTAGTTAAACTTTGCCGAACTGGAATTTTTCCCAATGTGTATCATGGCTGGTAGATGAACTTACCAAATAATAATTCTATAAACCTGCACAAGACGAAAACAGTGATGAAGTATAAACCAGTTTACACAAAAATATTGCTTCAGCAATTTTCCTTCTTTTTTCAAGTGTTACACAAAAATATTGCTTCAGCAATTTTCCTTCTTTTTTCAAGTGTGCAAACATCAAACTCCTCAGTTAAAACGACATAGGGTACATCAAAATAATAAATATCATACTTCTTATAATAAAGGTACCTCAAAAATTTCTTCTGAATCTTTTCTAATTCGTCTTTATGTACAGAATAGTACGGACTCCAGATAATCGAACAATATTCAAGAATACTCCTAACATATGCATTATACAATAGATTCGGAGTTTCCTTATTTTGAAAACCCGAAGAATTTCGAACCACAAAGCCTAACATTTTGTAACCTTTTTTTGTTTGCTGTCTATATGTTTAATAAATTTTAATCCGGAATTAAAAAGTACACCAAGATCCTTAATTTCTGTTTTTCGTTCTATTATAATTTCTTTCATTTTATATTGATACATAATAGCACTTGATCTTCTGTTAAATGTCGTGATACAACATTTTCTGATATTGAAATTTGGTTTATTTGTTTCTGACCATTTGATTACTTCATTTAAGTCCTTTTGCAACAATTCACAGTCTTGTCTACATCGAATTTTTCGAAATAGTTTATAATCATTGGTAAAAAGAAGATTAAGTGAATTTGTCAAAGAACAGTGGTCCAAGGTTGGAACCCTGCGGCACCCCTGAGTGAGCTGCAAAGGGCTCCGAAGAGGCACCCCTGTAAACCACACATATTTCCGGGAGCTTAAATATGAACTTGAGAAACTCAGAAGATTCCCAGAGAGACCAAACCCCGACAACTTCCGCAGAAGAACATCATGCCACACACGGTCAAATGCTTTAGCAAAATCAGTGTATACTACATCAACCTGGATATTCACGTCTAGAGTCGAGTCAACGTATTGAGTTAAGCACGCTAAATTTATTTGTGCCAGAAAAGGGCAGAATTACATTTCATTTCAAAGGAAACATGAATGATCAATATTACACCATTGCAGTGATACCAGCTGTTGTCCTCTTTGCTCTTTACTGATTACTGGAGTATACAAGCATATTATTGGCACAAGGCTAATACGGGTAAACCTTAACTTGTTTTCTTGGAATTTACTGGGTGTTTGCATTTTTTATCTCACACATCATATCGGTAATATATTAGTCCCGATTCATTGCAGATTCGTTGAAAATGGAAAAATGATGCCTGGCGATGTACTTCTAACAACAGCATTCATCTCCTACGTCGGCTGCTTTACTAAGCAATACAGACAGGATTTACTTCATAAAATGTGGTTGCCGTTCTTAAAGACTTTGGATGTAGGAAATATTCAGTCGATATTAAATTCATATAAATTATTACGTAATGATTTCAGCCTAGCGTCCCTCTAACAGAAAATCTCGATCCCCTATCGCTTCTAACTGATGATACTATAATCGCCAAATGGCATAACGAAGGTCTACCAAGTGACAGGATGTCGACTGAAAACGCCACTATTTTGATCAGTTCTGATCGCTGGCCTTTGATGATCGATCCCCAAGTAAGCCTCCTAATACCTTAAAATAATTTTAATCGCTGTGCTGTGTTTAGCTTCAGGGAATCAAATGGATTAAACAGAAATATGGAGATAGCTTAAAAGTAATTAGATTAGGCCAGAAGGGTTGCTTAGATGTAATAGAGAAATCCATTACACAAGGTGCTACAGTCTTGGTGGAAAATATAGGGGAAAGCGTCGACCCAGTTCTCGATACCTTGCTGGGAAGAAATCTTATCAAAAAGGGAAAGTAATATGCACATAAACGCATAATTCCACACTCTAGTACTAACATTATGATTCAGAGCTGTCAAAATTGGAGACAAAGAAATCGAATACAACTCAATGTTCCGCTTAATTTTACACACCAAACTCGCCAATCCTCATTACAAGCCTGAAATGCAAGCTCAAGCCACCTTAATCAATTTTACCGTCACCAGAGATGGACTTGAGGACCAGTTACTCGCTGAGGTGGTAAAAGCTGAGCGGCCAGATTTGGAAGACTTAAAGGTTCATTCAATATACAACAAATGACTTCTTATAATTGCTGAATTTCAGGCTGACCTCACCAAACAACAAAATGACTTCAAAATAATGCTTAAAAGTTTGGAAGATGATTTACTGTCTCGTTTATCTTCAGCGGGTGGAAATTTGTTAGGCGACACTACACTAGTGGAAAACCTGGAAACCACTAAGCGTACAGCAGCCGATATCGAACAAAAAGTAGCAGAAGCTAGAATAACTTCAACTAAAATCGACCAGGCTAGGGAATTTTATAGACCAGCCGCTGCTAGAGCAAGTTTGCTCTACTTCATCCTTAACGAGTTGAATACTATTAATCCAATTTACCAATTTTCTTTGAAAGCTTTCAATGTTGTTTTCCAAAAAGCTATTGCGAAGGCAGAACCCGCTGATACAGTATCTGGAAGAGTTAGTAATCTGATTGACTGTATTTCATTCTCCGTTTTCCAGTATACAACCAGAGGGTTATTTGAAAGCGACAAACTGATATTTGCTTCGCAGATGACGTTTCAAGTAGTCCAGACTTACGCGAAAATTAACTAAAAGATTCTCAGTTCTGATTTCAGATCCTGTTAATGAATCGCGAGATAAACGCGGCAGATTTGGATTTTCTATTGAGATTTCCGATCAAGCCACACGTCACGAGTCCAGTCGAATTCTTATCCAACCACTGCTGGGGTGGTATCTGTAGTTTAGCAACTAGGGACGAATTTCGGAACTTGGATCGAGATATAGAGAATTCTCCGAAAAGGTGGAAAAAATTGGTAGAATGCGAAACTCCCGAAAGAGAAAAGTTTCCCCAAGAATGGAAAAGTAAGACTGCTCTTCAGAGACTTTGCATGATGAGAGCATTAAGGCCTGACCGAATGTTATATGCTATGATGTAGGTTTTATAAAACATTTGTCTTTATTGACTTACTTTGAATCACTGAATCACAGGGCGTTTATCGAGGAAAAGTTGGGTACTAAGTACGTTGGAAATAAAACAGTAGAGTTCAGCAAATCGTTTGAAGAAACAAGTCCTTCGACGCCGATATTCTTCATTTTATCACCCGGAGTAAATCCTCTGAAGGACGTAGAAGATTTGGGAGAAAAATTGGGCTTCACTCTGGAAAAACAAAATTTTCACAATGTTTCCCTGGGACAAGGTCAAGAAGTCGTAGCAGAAAAGGCTATGGAGACGGCAGCATTAAATGGACATTGGGTTGTCTTACAAAACATACATTTGGTTAAGAAGTGGTTACCAAATCTCGAGAAAAACTTAGAACATTATGCTTTCGGTGGTCACTCCGAATACCGAGTATTCATGAGCGCCGAACCAGCTGCTTCACCAGCTGGTCATATAATCCCTCAAGTAAATTGTAGAACATTGAATCAATAGCTGCTAATCATTTATTTTAGGGTATTCTCGAATCTTCTATTAAAATTACAAATGAACCGCCCACGGGCATGAAAGCAAATTTGCACAAGGCATTGTCGAATTTTAATCAGGAAACGTTGGAGCAATGTGGAAAAGAGGCCGAATTTAAAGTAATCCTGTTCTCATTGTGTTACTTCCACGCAGTAGTAGCGGAAAGGAGAAAATTTGGACCGCAAGGGTGGAACAAAATGTATCCATTCAATGCTGGAGACTTGACGATTAGCGTTTTTGTACTGTACAACTATCTAGAAGCTAATTCGAAAGTCCCATGGGAGGACCTGCGCTATTTGTTCGGTGAAATTATGTATGGAGGTCACATTACTGATGACTGGGATAGAAGATTGTGCAACACATACTTAGAAGAGATTTTACAACCGGATCTGGTATGGCTTTCCGTTTAAATTTACCTCAAAAGACCTCAAACGACATTGTAGGTGGATGGGGAGCTGCTGCTGGCTCCAGGTTTTCCAGCACCACCCAACACAGACTATCAAGGATACCACAATTACATCGATGAAGTACTGCCGTCTGAATCACCATATCTTTATGGACTTCATCCAAACGCTGAAATAGGATTTTTGACTACAACCGCTGACAAATTATTTAGAATCGTGTTTGAAATGCAACCTAGAGACGCAGAGTCTTCTGGGGGCGCCACAGTAACTCACGAGGAGAAGGTAAAATAGTTAACCAATTTTCAGATTCGATTTGAGCTGTTATATGTCTAGGTTAAACAAATGGTGGACGAGATGATGGAAAAACTACCAGAAGATTTTAATATGACGGAAATAATGGGGAAAGTAGAGGAGAGAACCCCTTACGTAATAGTTGCGTTCCAGGAGTGCGAGAGAATGAATTTGCTAATAGGGAAAATTAAACAAACTCTGAGAGAATTGGAGTTGGGACTCAAAGGAGAACTCACATTTACATCTGATATGGAGGATCTGGAAAACGCGGTATTTCTGGACCAAGTGCCCTTATCGTGGTCCCAAAGGGCATATCCTTCATTGTTAGGGCTGACCGCTTGGTTTGTTGATTTATTGCTGAGAATTAGGGAGTTAGAAACCTGGTCCACAGACTTTGTGGTAATTTTTGATTATATCAAATTGCTAGATACTTGACAAGAGTACGCAAAAATTGGCGACTGTCTTCTAAAACCAAACAAATAATTGTATAATTTTAAAAGTACAAAAAAATTAATTCTAAACACCAATAAAAACCAAATTTTTGAGTACTTGTTTTGAATTCGGTGCGCTTGCAATAACTACATTTTAGCTTCCTGCTTCAGTGTGGTTGGGTGGATTTTTTAACCCTCAATCATTGTTAACAGCGATAATGCAGAGTACGGCGAGAAGAAACGAATTGCCTTTAGACAAAATGTGCTTACAATGTGACGTTACTAAAAAGCAAAAGGAAGAATTTACGTAAGTTCCATTTTAAGCAGTTTGGTAAATTAAAGGTACGAGGACATTTTTTAGAAGTGCTCCTCGAGATGGCGCTTACGTCCACGGTCTGCACATGGAAGGGGCTCGTTGGGACGTACAAGCTGGAATTATAATGGACTCAAGATTAAAGGAGCTATTTCCTGCAATGCCTGTGATCAATATAAAAGCGATTACCCAAGATAAGCAGGATTTGCGCAACATGTACGAGTGTCCTGTATATAAAACGAGGACCAGAGGGCCAACTTTTGTATGGACATTTAACTTAAAGACAAAAGATAAACCTGCCAAGTGGACTTTGGCCGGGGTTGCTCTGCTTTTACAAATTTAATTTAAACTGAAAGTTGTAATTATAACAGCAATGTGCACTTTAGCGACAAATATTGGTTTCAGGACATTAGCGTTGTAGTAAAACAAAAAAATTTTAAATGCAAAGGTTGTTTTTATAAGAACATTTCGTAAGTATATAAAGATTATTTTAAATAATATTGAATAACGCAAGAACAAGAACCTTTTTTCAAAAATACGGCGTCCTGTATATTATTCTATAATTTGGTTATGGCTATTGGCCTTGTCCTTCCCTATAGCAACCTTTATCTTTTTCCCATCAAAAACGAAATATTGGTTTCTTTGTAGTTAGATTCTGACAAAGTTTGACATGTTTTTCATTTTATTTACGTCAAAGGAGTTTGGAGACCCTAGCGCCGACCAATTTTGAATGATAAACACATTTTTGAACTATTTAACGGAAGCGCAGTGGCAATTAAGAATTTGGTAAATGATTAATCCAAAATGTCCCAAAAATACAACGAACATGGCAAAATGCCATTAGTGGATGTAATCAAAACAGGAAAATTAAATTGGAAAACACAAGAAACAAGAAATACAAAATGAACACAAAAGTAAATATCACACAATGGTGTCTCATTTTTGATGGTTTTTTATGACTCAAGGCTACTCATCAAAAAATATATGCTTTGTATGCTTATATGCTTATAGCTATATTATTTAGAAAATAGCATTTGTAACACTCGAAACATTTAATACAAAAACAGAATTCTACAGTCAATAACATTCAAATAGATCCTGTTGCCAATGAATATTGCTTTCAAAATAATTATTAGCAATATTCATTTTAGGGTACAAAAAATTTTCTGTGGTGAAAGTGCCTTCATTTAAGGGTGACAAATGTCACTCCCATAACGAATTATTTATTTGCAGGGAAAAACATTACTCTCGCGCGCAACATTTTTTCAGGGTAGAGCAGGATAACTGCGGGGGAGAATATTTACTCGTTAAGGGTGACAAATATCCCCGTCGTAACGAAAGATTTTCTCAAGGGTACAAATGCGAGCCGCCAAGTTTTACTTCACGGATAATTGGAAATATTACCTTCGTGGAAAAAAACCGTTTCAATGTGGAAAAATATCGCTTCAACAAAAGATTTTCTCAAATTGGATAAGTATAACTTCCGAGATAAGGGTTTCTTCAAAAGTGAAAAAAATCACATTCTTAATGAAACGCTTACTCGGAAACTTTGTTTTACATTGGCAGAAAAAACCACTTCCAAAGTAAACGTCTCTTCGGGGTGAAAAATATCACTCTCATAATGAAACACTTACTCTAGAGTGGCCCCCGAGGAAAAAATATTTCAAGAAATATTTTGGATGAAACATTTCTCAAAAATATTACGATCATAACGAAATAACATATTCTCAATTGAGAAAATGCTATCGCTTCGCTACTTATGTATAACATTCCTTCGGAGTAGAAAAATACGTTTGGGACGAATTTGTGTCCCGTTATCACCCTCATAATGAAACAGTTTCTCAATGATGGAGGAACTCAACCGCTGAAAAACAGGCAAAAATATTCAAATGCCGATGGACAATTAAATGCATTAGAGTCAATGAATTTCTATATATTTAAATATGAACTAATTACATAACATGACTGGTAAATTATACAATGCATATTTTTTACAGATATACTACAAACTAAATAAATTTACATCTTTTAGCAAACATTAAAAACTTATTCGATAAAGCAGATCTCTTTCATAAAATAATTTATACATGAAGTTCTAGTGGAACTTAAATTATATAATATACAAACTGATAAGCAGTTTTTTTTTGTCGACGATATATAGGGCTGAATATGAATTCTAAATCTTCTAATTCAACACCTGCAACTTGCAAATTTGACGGTTGAACCCTATATACTACCATAATCTGACGACAGCTATGAGTAGTTTTACCCAACATATCATTGTCAAATTACAAGTTACATGTGCGAGAACTGCAACTGAATGAAGATTTATGATATGGCAATAGATTTCAAATCGAAAACAAAACATAAACGAACATAATAATATATAAATATTTTGTTTAAAACAAGAATCAATTAATAAATATTGAGTACTGTTGTACGAGATAAACAATAGAGAAAACATAAAACGCTAAAAGTAATTCATTTGGAAAATCAATCTGCTAGTAACAATTACTGGGGAAAAATATACAGTCTGTATTTTTCTAAGATCAACATTTAATAAAAGTTATTTTACGATTTTTGGTCTGGTTTTGCAAAGTTTGGCGTACTTTGTCGACCATTTGCGCTATAATTACATTCATATTTAAAAAAAAAACACACGTAACAGCAATCTAAGGGCGAAAATAAATAACGACTTCAAAACTTACCGCAACATCTGAAATTTTCATCAAGGAAAATGGTAAAACAATTCCTTACACAGGAGGATCTGGAGTGTTTCACGTTCACATCAATAACATAATCAACATACATTATCGAATCTGAAGTTTTCTTATGTGGAGTATAAAGATTGGAATGTAATGTTTAGACAGCAGAAAATAGATACCTTAAAATTGTTCGGCTAACAGTTCGCAGATTTCGACCGAAACACTCTCTTTACTAGATCGTACCGTCAGTCGATACATCTGAAACAAAAAAAAAACAATAAATTAGAGGAAAGCTTGGAACCTAAATTTAAAATTAAAACTCCAGATGAGTATGATGTCTGGAACCCACAATGTGTTAAATTCTAGTGCATGTAACTAGCAGGGCGTCTTGCGTCTTCGATGAACACTTCACCGCTTCTATATTTTCTTCATTTTCCCTGTACATTCTCTTCACATAATTACGAAAGATGTTCGATTCTATTTTTGAGCGGCAGGGTTCGATTTTAAGAGACTTTCGAAAAAATTTGTTGAAAAGCTTTCTTTGTAGACATACAGCTCCATGACAAACATATAAGAAAGTCCCTAGAAATTGAGCAGCTTGGTCGGCCATGAATGGTTTGGCGAAACTATGTACAGCATCTGGCAATTTTTTTTTTAAATTCGATAACTATGGAAAATTATTTTTTTAACCTCCAAAAATGCCAAACTGCTAACTTTTGCTCTTATGTCCATATTTGTGACACAAATATATGAAATAACTGCGATAACGTCAACATTAACAATATCTAATTCTTTATAAATACTATTGAGAAAAGTGGCGTGATTCGCTTTCTAAAAGTAGCGAAACGGAAAGCTAAATGGGGTTTGTGGTTAAGGTTTCTTCTCTCATTATTATTATTATTACAAAAAGTTAGTTACATGTAGTGTGAGCTATGTTAATACATCATTATTATATTGAATTTCACATAATTGTCATATTTTGGGACCTAATGACGCAGAAATTAAAATAATAAATACGAAATGTTATGGTTGTCATGTCCATAGCCTACTCATAAAAAAATAAAATTCTATACAAAATTAAATAACACAACAGAAAAATCAAAGAAGGTATACTATGCATACTAAATAAACAAAAACTTCGAAAAATATTATAATAATTGAAAAGATTAAAAGGATTTACCAAAAGGGACCAAATTACAAATACACATAAAGAGTTAAAGGTGGAATCCATAGAAAAATTCATAGAGAAAAAACAACTTAGATGTATTTTGAGAAAGATCTTGAAAAAGAGGGGAAGAACATGGATGGAAGCTAAAAATTTAGCCCTAAATGGAAAAGACTGGAAACTTTTTATGTATAATTAAATTTTTATTATTAAATTAAACGTAACTGTAGATTAATTTTATTCGATTGTGGAGATATAAGTCTGGAGTAACGAGGAGTGATCATGTTTGGTATTGTAGTAGTGTCTAATAATAATAATAATAATATGAGTTTATGGTAAATTAATTATCAAAGGCCGAAGTCGAAATTCTACTTCTTTAATGAACTTATTGCTTATTGCATCTGTTAAAACAAGCCTAACAAAATTATTAAAACTTGACACGCACAGGTTTAGTTTCTCAAAATTTGTGAATTTGTGAAGACCAGTTTTTGACCATTTGCTTAAATGAAAGCATAACCAAACTACAACGAGTGTTTAAAATTGCAACGATTTCGAAATTACCCTGTATCTAAAAAACAAAAATATCATTTCTGTTGGTAGACTGTACACTCTCATCAGAAACTGGCAATTTGTGTCCCTTTTTTGTATAAGATATTGTATTCGCGTAGAGAATCACGTGAATAAATAACGGGCACTTTTTTAATTTTGAAAATTGAATTTAGTAATAAAAAAATCCTCTAATTTTCTGCAACAGTTTGTGGCAAATAAACGTTTTCAAAATGTGTTTTGCTTACACCATGTCGCGATTTAGATTCGGGCATAACTTACTTGTGCATTCTTATTAGGTTCTAGACGGAGCAAACACCCTACTTGTTGACTGCGCATGTGTATGATGCCTGCGCAGACAAAGTTCTCCGGATTCGGATCTATGCCGTCCAGAAGTTGCATTCCGAACCCGATCATTTTTTGTCTGGCGGCTTGCAAGTCCATCGGTTGGGAAGCTTTGAATATTTTCTGAGATCGTTGCTGATTGGCGCTAAGAAAAAAACAAAGCTTTAAAATATTCACCCAACCAGCGACAAACGATCAGAAATTCCAGTTTAGCAATAAATAGATATTTAATAGATGCATTTCCAGTATATATAAGGGTGACGAGAGAGCCGAGTGTAAATTTCTTTTTTCTTAGCCCCACTTCTGAATCTGAATTAAGAAGAAGTCCTACATTATTAACCGTCTGCACATTGTTAATGGTGTGTTCCCTGATATAATTAATATTATTGACTGATTAGTTCTTTAGACAACAATGATCTGTGACCTAAGCTATTTTAAAAAATTTAGACACAAACAGAACTGTTTTTTGACATGTAGGAATTACTAACATGATCAAGTCATATCTATTATTTAAAATATAGAGGTTGAAGTTACTGTGCCACAGGGCAAGGTCATTTTCACACTGCTATTCAAACTATACAGGGTAAGCCAAAAGTCATATCTCAGGAAATATTATACTTAAATTTATGATATTTTGCCTCGTCTATGCCACCATTGGATCCATCCTAATAAGAAACCTTTGTACACTAAATTCCATGAATTTAAGTCTAATAATTTCTGAGATATATGGCCATGAGTGACTTTTGTCTATCCCTCTATATAGATCGTTTATTATCCTTGATGGGCGGTAAATAAGGCTGACATCGTACTGTTTAATTTTTATTTACCTAGGGCCAAATTAATACCTTATCACTAGAAACAATGTTGTTAAATTTCAAACAAAATCCGTGAGAAAACATTTGAATTAATTTTAAAGAAATTATTTTATAAAAAGCTTTAACACCCTGTCTGTATCTTGGAAATAATGCGTTGCAAAATATTGATTTGTTAATGGTGTTGTTTATAGAATAGGAGAGAATTGAATCATTTATTTAAAAAAGAAACATGTATACATATGTTGAAGAGGTAGTGAGTAGTACATATGTATATAAATAGATATTGAGATTAATATAAAAAAAGAATAGAATAAGTTCCAATTAAAATTTCAATATTGATTAACACAATTTTCAATTTTAATTTTTAATATAATTTAAGAGTGATTTGTGCACAGAAACGGCAGTCATGGTCCTGCAGATATTCACAAATATGGCTGTTGCATAAAAACCCTATTTTTTTTTAAATTCCTTATGATTTAACACTTTAAACTCAATTGCGAATTGATTAAACAGTTTAGCATCCATACAATAAGAGAATAGGGGTAGAATGAAATGACAATATAATAGGGTTGCTGTTCTATCTTGTCATCCTGTTACTAAAATTATAAAAGTGCATATATCAATGCACAAATAGCATATTAAAAATATAAATGCTTACATGATTCAGTTCATGGGCAACTCCCATGTTAGTTAAAACCCTTAAAGAATAACAACCTATTCCCAATTGATCATTCACAATAAAAATGAGTCCAAGAAACTGTTTTTCCTTGGTTGAAAGTATCGCAAAGTCTATAATTTATTTTTATTTTGTTTGCTGAGCACTACACTTGTAAATTTCTGAGGCAGCTATTTATTTTGTTTTCTAATTAATTAATTACTCGTCTTGGAGGATAAAAAAGGCGTCATCAGCAAAAAGGACTATTGGAGAATCTTCGAAGCACCCAAGAATATCATTAATGTAAATAAAAAATAGCATGTGTCCCGAAACGGATCCCTGTGGCACCCCACATTGAACGTCAAACCATTCTGACTTATAATAATTGAGTTTATGGTGGGCCATTAGTTAAATAGCTTCCAAACCCGCTGTAAGGCAGTCCTCCAATTAGAATGTGAGATGGATGCCATTGTTTGCGAGATATTGATTTGTTAATGAAGTTGTTTATAGAATAGAATAGAATAATTTACAAGTCACACTTCAGTCTAATGGTAATTTTTTTTTGTCTAAACTATCTACCACTCTAGAAGCTGTCTTAAACATGCAGTAGTATGCTGAGATTCATTTATCCTAAAATTTGTTAATAACTTACTTTCCCAAGTTTTTCCACCTGGCGAAGAACGATTCTCCATTCATTTCGGTCGGTTCGAAGAACTTGTTTATGGTCAAAGGAAGTTTCACTGTAATCTTCTGTGTATGGCTACTATGTACAAAAGAGATTAATATACTTGGAGTATCTGAAAAAGATGAAGCCGTTAAACCAAACCAAATTTCAATACAGTAAATTACCAGTGTAGTCATCGATGCATTCGGCGTTGATCATTTGCTGAATTTGAGCACCGGCTTCTAAAATTAAGTCCACCGGTTTCATTTGCACGCTCAGTTTTTGAGCTTGTTCTTCGGACCAGAGCAACGTGGGTAGGAAGTTAAGCAACATGGTGTTGGTCTTGTTGCCGTAAAATAATCCGAGTCTCCCGAGATTTTGGCGAAATTCGCTTTTCACGCCGATTTGAATTAAATCGTTTTCGAATAAGACGCCGTTATTTTTACAAACAAACCTGAAAAAGCTCAAACATTTTAAAGATAATGCTGTTAGGGCGACATACTTTTTAACATCGGCCACCCAAGTGGGAGAAGGAGACACGTTATTTACAGGTTTGTTATAAATGTCCCCTAGCACGTCCAATAATACTCCCGTGCTAGAATTATTTGGTTGGGATGTTGGAGGCGTGGACAATCCGAGTAAATCCGTAGAACCTGCGTTACTATAATAAAAATTAATTTTTAAATAACCAAAATTTTACTACACCTAGTCTAAGAACAAAGGACATATACAAAGTCCTGAAGAACAAGCAAAAATTACCTCAAAAACTGTTTTTTTTTTTTAATAGCCAGCAACTTTAAAATATCTTTTATGCAAAACATTTGTTAAAAAAAAACATTTCAAAATTATTATGCGAATATGGGGTAAATTTTTTTAAATGGCGAATAACTTTAATTTATATATCATGCCAAATATTTGTGAAGTACTAAATTCTATATTAATTTTTGTTAAAAAAAAAACTATTTTATTTTAAAAGTATATTATGATTTTTAACAGCTGCAGCTATTAACCTTTTTTAAATTAGTCAATATGGGGTAATTTTTTTAATGCAAAATTCTTGAATGTCCATCATATGTAACGCATAAATTTTATTACTATCTTAAGAATAAAATACGTATAAAGACCACCGAAAAAGAAGGGAAAATTTTTATATTACTTAAAAAAATCTTTTTGTTTAATAACCAATAGGTTTAAATTATATTTTATGCAAAATATTTGAGAACAACTAAATTCTATATTAATTTTTGTTAAAAAAACAACTATTTGAAAAGTATTTTACTATTTTTACCAGCAGAAGCTATTGACCTTTTTTAAATTACTCAATTACTCAATGTCCATCATATGCAAGACATAAACTTTAGTACTACTTTAAGAACCAAATACATATAAAAAACTAAGTGAAAGTTAAAAAAACAAATATTTCCACAATATACGACATTTAACAGTTGCAGCTATTAACCTTTTCTAAATTAGTCAATATGGGGTAATTTTTTTTAATACAAAATTCTTGGATGTCCATTATTACTTTAAGAATAAAATACATATAAAGACCACAGAAAAAAAAAATTATATTACTTAAAACAACTTTTTTTTTAATAGCCAATAACTTTAAATTATATTTTATGCAAAATATTTGGTAACAACTACATTCTGTATTAATTTCTGTTAAAAAAAAAACAAATATTTCAAAAGTATTTTATGATTTTTAACAGCTGCATCTATTAACCTTTTCTAAATTAGTCAATTTGGGGTAATTTATTTTAATACAAAATTCTTGAATGTCCATCATATGGAACGAATAAATTTTAAGAATGAAATACATATATTTTCATATTACTTAAACTTTTTTTTAATAGTCAATAGCTCCCGATTATCTTTTATGCAAAAATATTTGGGAACAACTAAATTCTGAATTAATTTTTGTTTGACTACTACTTGAATTTACATCATAAATAACGCATGTACTTGAGTCAATCATACATAAAGGACAGGCTGGAAGAAACACTATTTGAGTTAATTCACTAATTTAACTATCTTTTTTTTATTGGATTTTTCTTTTACAATTATCATTACAATTACGAATTATATCAATACAGGTGTCCAGAAATTAGGAAGACATATTTTCGTAGATGTCTAAGACGAACCTTAGTTTCCCATATAAATGTGTGGCCAGAAATGCTTCTTTTCCAAAATACACGGCGTCAACGTAGGAAGAAAATAATATTGTGCAACAAGTTTGATACATGCCATTTTAATCACGAGGTTGGTTTGATAAGATACCAAAACAACAGTCGCACCCAAACCCGTGACTAAAGAACCGAAAATATCCGAAGTAGAGAGAAATGATTTTAATTGTATCTTTTAGCTCCCAAGAGATATTTTCCATGAAAGTACACGCCTTTGAAGCATTAAAAAGCATTTTTTTTTAAAGAAAAAATGCCATGCCACTGGTTATTGTGCAAATAAGTCATTCTTTCTATCCTGGTGTAAGATTATATCAAAATTTAAGCACAAATTTGCTTAAAATTTAATTGTTCTACTAAGAGCAATTCTTATTTGTTAAAAATCAGTGGCGTACTTTTTTTCAAAAATGGAGTTAATACATACAACTTTATTTAAAACTTTAACATCCTCTATAACTCTTCAAAGAAGCATTATTGGACATACATTTATAAATGAAAGTAAAATCTGTAAAATATGTGCTCCCAATATGCACACACCCTGTATTTTAAATTAATTTCTATGGAAACGCTTAAGAACCTTTCTGTATACATTATATATAATGTTATATTTATTAATACAGTCAGATCCTGGGTTTTACAATAGATGAATGACAAAAAAGTGGGGCATAATTAAATAATCCGAGATCATTTGCAGAAAAAATTACCTGGAACTGACATCATTATTGGTGTGGTTGGCAACAGGAGTGGGACTTTTGTTCTCTTTGACATCATTCTCTGGCACCCTGCCCGGTTTCTTCTTTTTAAGAACTGCCAAAATTGAACTCTCCCTCTCGGGAAATGCGGGCATTTCTTCCAGCACGGTAGCGAGAACATCTGGACTGGCGATGATGCTCAGCTGAAGATATTCAGAGGCCCGCTGCTGTAGTTCAGCATCCGCTGAGCGCAGATTGCTGTCTTGTCTGAACACCTCTTGAACCTGAGTTCTTATTTCAGGGAACAAATTTATAAATTTGATGTATGTGGATAATAACAGCGCTCTGGTCATGGGTGAGCATAAATGGTATTTCGAATGTAGCAATTGAAACTGGACCGCTGGTGAGGATCTTTGATCACCAGCAATTAGATTACCAAATTCTCCTAAAATATAACCTCCTACTTTAACCATATTTTCGTGACATGCTGGAGCCTGCAATGCCTCGAAAACGGTCTTAGCCGCGTAACCTTGAACCTCATCCCTGTTGATAACTATCTGGATCACGCGATACCAAACTTCTTCAGATACATAGTCTCCAGCAATCCTTATCAAATTTAGTATAACGTCCACATACCTATAACATTATTATTTATATCCAACTGTGTAAAGTACATTTAGGGTAATACCAATATCAAAATAAATAACTTAAAGGCATTATTGTGTTTTAGATAACTTTTAATTAATTAAAAAGCAAATCACTCTTGTGAGATTAAACAAAACTACCAAGAAAACTTAAATCCAAAAATGCAAAATTAGGGAATAACCAAAACCCTCAATCCAAATTCCTACTAAATAAATTAATACCTGATGTTAGTTTACATACCAAGTGTAGTCAGTTGCATATTTCTCTGCTAATATGGCCACTTTTAGCACCATTTCCTCTCTTATAGAATAATCTGCGGTTTCTAAATAATTTAACATTTCCTGTACAATTTCTTCGGCATTACTTTTATCGCACATAGCATACAGCAGATCTACTGCCTGTTGCCTAACAGACACGTCTTTCTCCATCTTCATAGAGAGTATAACAACTTCTTGGTGTTTTTTAACAGCCTCATGTGAGAATTCGGAGGTTGCCAAATGGCACATTGATTCTAGGGCCAAATATCGTAAGTTGGTTTCGCGATTGCTTAAAAACTGCCCCAATTGGTTACAGGCTCGTACTAGTAAATTTGCTTCACTGAAAATATTGACATCAACCAATGTTAACCATTCTAATGTAAAGTATTGCTAACCTATCGTTGTGAATAATAAGACTAATTGCCTCAAATAAAACAGCATTTTTGGCGTTTGAATGTTGGACTTTCTTTGATTTTGGGGGCTCCTGCGCTTTGTTCAATATAGTTTCTAAACATTCATTCAGTCGGCCACGTACACCAGGATCTTCAGCTATAATAATTTACCATGCAAAAATACTAGGGATGAAAATTTTAATTTTACCTGGGGGAGTATAATTTTGAAGCAAACGTAAAAGCTTAACAGAGAGCCAAGGCGCCGGTACAAAATAATATGTATAATCCTGCAGATCTGTATAACTAGCTGTAACAATCTAAAAATGTCACATTTACTAAGGTATAGGTACTATTAAATCTTAACTTACTCTACTTAGCCGTGATACAGCCAATGAAACGCACCCCTTATATTCCTCAGGGTTCTTTTTGACAAGAGCATCTATTAAACTTGTGGCTGCAGTAACAACACCCATATGTTGGTCATTAAGTAAGTGAATAATACGGGAAGTCCACTCCCCTCCAGGAATGATATCTTGGGATGTTCTAAACAATCTTAACAAACACAGAGCCGCACTTTGCTTGACAACATCCATTGTGTCTCTAATAAAATGTAGTTAAAATACTATTTCCAAATAAAATCAAAGGGTGTCTTACCCTGACACTAACAGCTTTGGTATGTCATTACCAAACGCTTCTGCCATCTCACGGCTACCAATATTGGCAATGCATTGTAGAGCCAAATTTACATGGATAGGGTTTCTCGAAGCTAAATCGTTTTTTATACTCTGTATTATAAGTTTGATCAGTTCGCTATTTGTATTAACCAGCACAGATATGAATAGATATCCCTAACAAAAAAATAAATTATTAATTCGATAAAAAAAAACTACATAGTATAAGAAAATAATGATGGTGCAATATTTACAATTATATTTAAAGCACACCATAATTTAGACACTTAAAAATCTCCTGATTTGAAAAACCTAATAAATAAAGATAGTAAAATCGAGCTTTATCATTTAAATAGATAGGTTCAACTTACTATTTGCTTTTCAGAGTATTTATTTGACGACAGAAGATTCACAGCTTCCATGTGTCCAAAATCAATATCATGTCCAAGCAAAAATATAAACAACAATTTGCACACATATTTTTTCTTTTGGTATCCATCTAAAGTCTTATCACCTTTGAATTTACTACGTATATTTGCTAGTTCTTTATTTATTCTCTTTATTTCTGCTTCCTTGCTTTTACCTGAAAAACACCAAACTTTTGAAATCAATTTCTGTGGGAATATCAAACAGCTCACTTACAATTTCTTATATCTGATATGAAAACTGCTAGGCCTCGCATGCCATCTCCCCTAACGGCAGGCATGGCTTTAGTAAACTAACGTAATTTCCTTAAAACCTAAAAAGAAAACATAGTTTTTGAAACTTCTGAGCGAGAACCTCCCCCTTAGTGATAGCAATTTTGACAGAAAGTAAGATATACTTTCGTTAATAAACTTACCAAGAAAATTTTGGCTTCAGCAGCTAAGTAAAGGAAGTGCTTATGTAAATATTGTGTGGGATGAAGCTTTATTTTCAGTTTTTAAGACATCAGTACCAAAAATTCTATCTAAAAACTTATGATAAATAACACTGACGTTGACAACTCGATGCCGAAGAATGTCAAATATCAAAAATCGATTTATGTTCCGAATTTTCTTGGCTTCTTCCCATCATCCCGATTTTCACTGTGGAACAATGCATTATCCTTTTTTAATACACAAGCTAAAACAGTGACAACAAAAATGGCCATTGCCGTCGTGAACGACGTGGCGCTTGAGGAAGAAGATATCTATCAAGCACATGACTAACCAATATTGATTCTTCGTCTCCGAATGACACTGTCATGTTTGTTTTTATTTTGATTATGTGGGCATGTTATTCACAATGAAATTGTAATCTTTATAAAATAGTACGAATAATGACAAAATGAATTAATGAGCAGCAATGATATTGAAATTCTGTATATATGTGTATTACACATTGTTGCTTACGTCTGTACAGAGTAAGTTGTGAAGTGTTCCTACATTTTAAATATTGTATTGTAAAATTCCAGCTACAATTTACGATAACTTAAAATACTTCGAATACATACACGCCGATCAGTTGACTCATAAAGTTGTAAAACGGGGCGCTGAACAGAGCAGTCACCCCTTTAACAAAATTAAGGAAGTCCACATCAATACTCATGGTAAAAATTTCCGATTAATATTGTCACCAAAGAGAGATATATTGCACTCAAAGTTTAAAGCTTATTCTGTAAATGGAGATGGCGAAGAAACCAATGTCCACATAGGTATGTTTAAATTTTGTATTCTAAAACATAATTTATTAAATGCCTTTTAGACCATGATGACTTTTATCATGGACGTGTTTTTGGGGAAACTTCTTCATATGTTAATTTGCACATGGAAGATGGTGTTGTAACTGGAAATATATATTTGCCAAACGAAATTTACCATATAGAGGTTAGTGCTTTATGATTGTGGCTAGATGGAGCTAATTTTAGTATTTTCAGCCTTCTTGGCGACATATCACAGATTTTGATAACAGAACAATGATAACCTATAAACAGTCAGATATTAAATTTAGTTGGGATGCAGAAAATGACCATAGGGTTCCGAAAATGTGTGCTTATGTTAAAGAGGGTCAGGAATTAGATGAAAGTGAAGAAGAACATCATTTGCAAAAGAGGCAAATTGATCAGTATGAATACACATTCACGAAAACAAGATGTCCTTTGTTGTTAGTTGCCGATTATAGGTTTTTTCAGGAAATGGGTGGAAGCAATACCAAAACTACAATAAATTATTTGGTGAGTATATATTTTTTGATTGTTTAATTCATGACTAAACTCCAAATGTAATGACATTGTTGTTTTAGATAAGCTTAATTGATAGGGTGCACAAAATTTATAATGACACTATTTGGCAAGATAGACAAGAAGTGGATGGTTTTAAGGGAATGGGGTTTGTTATTAAAAAAATTGTTGTACACAATGAGCCAACAAGAATTAAATCTGGGGAAGCTCACTACAATATGATCAGGGAAAAATGGGACGTCAGAAATTTGTTAGAGGTTGGTTTTTTGTTGTTAGTATTTTCAAAAAAATTCAACAGAGATAGAATACAGTGATTTTAAAAATTAAATCTTTTCCAAAGGAATTTTCTAGAGCACCCCAAGATGTCAATTACTGCTTGGCCCATCTTTTCACCCACCAAACTTTTAAAACCAGAAATTCCGTAATTCTAGGATTGGCTTATATTGCCTCACCACGGTTGAGGTCTCAAGGAGGCATATGTAGTAATGGTTATTATTATTTTTTTTTAACTACCTTCACTTATGTAAGATTTATGGGTCTGGGTGCTGGGCGGCAATCCATTACTTACTGCTTCTTCATTTCTTTTTCATTCATAAACTAACATTGCTGCTGGTTCATTCATTCTCAAATTAATTTTATGTTTCATCACTTTCAAAGTTCTGAAATAATAAAACGTATTAACATTTAATACATTTTCTTTAAAATAAAAACAATGCTTGATAACAGAGAGCATATTTCAGTTTGTAGTGGCAATGGGAAACTGCAAACTAATGTGACTTAGACCATAGAATATTTCAAGCAATTAGTTACTAATACAATAATCTTTCTGCTACTGTAACTTGCTTATTGTGTAGCATCTGTTGCATAGAAAAAACGACTTTATCTCTAAATCCAGTGGGGGGTAAAACTATTTGTTGTTGAAGGTATTCAGTAGAGAATATACCCACAAGGATTTTTGTCTGGCTCATCTATTCACTGACCTCAAATTTGAGGGTGGAATATTGGGACTCGCTTATGTGGGGTCTCCTAGAAGGAATTCAGTTGGAGGTATCTGCACTCCAGGTACTTTTCAACAACAGTCGCATAAATTGTCGATGTTCTTTGCATGTAATTCATTTCTTAGGCATTTGTGTTCAATGCTTTTTCATTTTAGATTTACTAGAATCTTAAGTATAGTTGCTTTTGTGGTAGCTAGAGTTTAATTTTTTCTCGCTTTCCTTACGCTTCTAAGGGTTGTAATTTTGTTGTAGAATATTTTAAAAACGGATATACGTTGTACTTAAATTCCGGTTTAAGCTCTAGTCGTAATCACTACGGTCAAAGGGTGATTACGCGTGAAGCGGACTTAGTTACTGCCCATGAATTTGGTCATAATTGGGGTTCAGAACACGATCCAGATATACCAGAATGTTCCCCTAGTGCTAGTCAAGGAGGTTCTTACCTAATGTACACTTACAGTGTTAGTGGTTATGATGTTAACAATAAGGTGTGCTGTGAGTATCATTTTCCATGAGGTCCCGTCAACTATGAGTTTTAGAAATTTTCCCCATGCAGTCTGAGGTCTATCAGAAAAGTACTCCAAGCTAAATCGGATAGGTGCTTCTCTGAACCGGAAGAAAGTTTTTGCGGCAATTTGCGTGTAGAAGGTGATGAAGAATGCGACGCGGGTTTACTAGGTACGGAAGATAATGACGCGTGTTGCGATAAAGACTGCAAGCTGAGACCAAAAGCGATGTGCAGCGATAAAAACTCACCGTGCTGTCAAAATTGCCAGTACATGCGCAGCGGCGTAAAATGTAGAGAAGCTCAGTACGCCACTTGCGAGGAGGAATCTAGATGTACCGGGCATTCGTCCGAGTGCCCTAAAAGTCCGCCTATGGCCGATAGTACCGATTGCCAAGAGAGAGGAAAGTGCAAAGGGGGAAAATGCATACCGTTCTGCGAGACTCAGGGCATGCAGAGTTGCATGTGCGACATAAGTGAGTTCCAACTACTTTATATCCAAGAAAAAAGAAACAACCTTGTACTCCTTCAAATTAGTTCCATGTAAAATATTTTTTTTTGTCTCGAGTGCTTATCTTCAGCTAATGCTTATAACATGTAACATTAAGAAACAATAACTAAAACTACTGCACCATCTTAAGCCTGAGCTAAATATTTTATTTATTTATTTATTTACAACAGTAAGCAGTTAACCCGATGAGGCTGATGAATAAAATTTGTAATATCTAATGTACTGTGAATACAAATTATGTAAAAAAAATAATCTTTGTTAAAAAAACATATAATATATGTAAAAAAGAAAAAGTTTTTACAAATAAGGAACAGGAAGAAAAAAGAGTTATTGATTGTAATGAATATCTACTTTCATTAAATGGTGCAATTCTCTGTCCAATTTGTTTTTGAAAGAATTAGATACAAGATGAATGTAAACCTTTTATGTATTTTTATTTCTTTATATTACAAATATAAATTTTAAATGTTTGGAGTACATTCATTTACTTTTAATTAATGTAATTAAAAGTCAACAAATCTCCTCCAAACATTTAAAGTTTTAATCTTCCTATGCATTTTTTATTCTTAATGTTACAAATTTATAATTGAAGAAATGTTTGGAGGAGATTTATTTACTCTAAATTAATGTATTTAGTGTATTTAATGTAATCAAAAATAAATAGGTCTTCCAAACATTTAAAGTTTTAATCCAGATGTAGATGGTGTAAACTTCATTTTTTACTTCTTAACTTTAAAACTTTCAAAGTTCCCTATTTGGAAGCGACTTATTTATTTTTAATTAAGGCAGTTAATGTAGTTAAATCTAAATAAGTCTCCTTTAGAGTTGTTAACCTTTTATTCATTTGTAGTTCTTAATGTTACAACTTATAATATTAAATGTTTGAAAGAGATTTATTTAATTTTAATTAATGTAATTGGCGTTTTAATGTAATTAAACGTAAATAAACCTCCTCCAAACATTTGTGCATTATTAAAACTTTATAAGTTTAATAATTGTGGGAGATTTATTTAGCTTTAATTATTGAAATTAAAAGTAAACAGATCTCCAAGCGCTTAAAGTTTTAACCAAGCTCAAGATGGTTTGGTTATATGGTTATATTCGTTTTTGCTTCCTTCATATTAGTTTAAGGTTTCTGCTGAGGTTAGGTTGACGTTTTTATATTACAAGCATTAGCTGAAGATGAGCACTTGAGTGTTCGAAACATGTACTGACATATTTACGCCTTTTAACGCATAAAAAAAAACAGATTTTGCATTAAAACATTGTTTCTTTTCACTTGAGTTTACCACCCCACTTTGAGAGATGGACTACTTCTGGAATCAACATAATTTATATATTTTTTCTAGTCGAGAATGCGTGCAAAAGATGTTGCAGATCCAGTATTAACGAAACATGTTCTCCGGTCGATTCTGCCGACATTTTAGCAGACGGCACGCCTTGCATTCAAGGATTTTGTAATAATGTATGATTTGAGGTGACTAAATCGAACCTAGATTGGTAAAATGGCCGGTTTTTAGGGTCATTGCGAGAAAACTGTTCAAGATGTCGTTGAACGGTTCTGGGATATAATCGAAGACATCAACATCAATAAAGTATTGTTGTTTTTGAAGGATAATATCGTGGGTACTGTTGTATTGATAACAGCTCTATTGTGGATACCCGCAGGGTGTATAATTAGTTTCTTCGATCGGAGGAAACGTAGGAAGGAATGGGATAGGATCGATTGGAAGAACAGTGGAGACTTGATCAACAGTTCAGATAACATTCGAAGGGTGATTCCATTGACAGTTTCGACCAGTCAACCTTCTCTTTGAACACGCCATTCCAGTATAAACTACTGTGTGATAAAAATACTTAATAGTTACCGTTTAGTGTTTTGTGTCTTGTGTTAATATCTTATTGTTATTTTTTGAAATTTTAATTTTTGAAGTTTATTTTTAAAACTAGTTGTGTTGAATAATAATTATTTCGTTTTTATATATATCGTTTTTTTTCTTCATTTGTGTTCCCTATTGTTCCTTAAGTGTGACGTGTTATTTTTTCTTTTTTAACTTTATTTTCCCCCATTTCATTATGTAATAGTTATTTATTTTTTGACGCATAACCATTTTCTTTAAGATCTAAACATCTTCATTGTATATTATATACACTTTTTGTTTATTTCTGTGCTCATAACAATTACATTAGATCTTCTAGATAGATTAATTTAGTTTATGTAAAAAAAAATCATCCTGCGTGCATAAAATTAATGACAAAAAATTTTGATCATTTATTTTAATTTTAAAAGGTTGCGCGAACTTAAACAACAAATTCAAGTTTAAAAACAAGTTAAAATTTTTTAATCGAAGGAGTTTTGAGATTAATTTTTTAATTTAAGCATATATTTTTTTGTATTCTAACTCCCACAAGCAACAGTCTTATCAAGAAGTGTAGGGGTAGAGAACTAAAAAAATATATTAAAATCTTATATGCAAAATAAAAACTCCTATTGATTGGACGAATTTTTTATAGATGGAAATCGAAAATAATGCTTGGTTGGGCCGGATCTTCAATATATACAATTGTTAATTTGTTTTTGTTATTATTTTAACATGATGTGTTAAATTTTAGTTACTAAGTTTTCTATGTTGAACATCCAATAATAGCATTGTATATTCTGTGTACGCTGTCGTTCAGAGGAATTAATAAATACTCATGTAAAAAATTAAAAGTTTGAAAAAACACTGCATTTCAGAGAACTGTTGATTTATTTATTTATTTAGCGTATGGCGCTTTACACACTCTATACAATATAGATGGACACATATTTCTAGATACGAAAATATACATATACACAATCATAACACAGCAAGTATGCTACGTTAATACACAACAGAGAACTGTTGAAAATCTGGTGCAGTGGACTAATTTGAAGACGCAGAGAACTTCTACAACATAAGAATAATTAAGTCAATGTTTAAGTATTAAGTGGCTATTGGCCAAAAATTTTCAATAAATTACCTAATGAACTAAAAAATCTCAATGTGGACAAAAAAGTGCTTAAAAAAAGATAACGAAAACAGAATAAATAAAATGCAAAAATAAAATTCAAAATATATATAACTCTTTTTCAAATTGTAAAGTTATAAAAAAGATTAATATATTGAGTATATTTGGCGAGGTGCAAATCTCAAAGAATAGTAAGTATCGTAAGTTTTAGTAAGTAGTTATAAGTAAGTTTAGGATCAACCTATGTTCGGGCAGTATTTGCCCCCTTTAGGTCGTTTACTGTAAACAGATTTTTTTTATGTAAAAGGAATTTAGGAACCTTCCTCCAAAAGCCCATAGGATGTTCTTTTTGTTTTAACTGGTTATTGGCTAACTAAAACTAACCAAAACATAATGGCTTATTGAATACATTGAATTAATATAATCTAATTTTGTAGCACAAAAAATTATGTCTAGTTTTAGAGGTCTACCTCATTTCTGAAGTTATAAATAAACTAGTATAGGTAGCATTGATCTAATTAACTTATCTTTTAATTCGTGAAATAGAGAACTTAGTGGCATTACGGCAACATATAATTATAAAAAAATCTTGTGCTAGATATATTCACATTACTAAGCTTCAACTTATATTTCGTTTACCGATTCAAACAAATCATTAGTGTTAATTTTATTTCTTTTTTATACCTCAAACAATCTGAATTTGAATCGACGTCAAATTATAAGTGAACTCTCACCTCACGAAAAACTTTAAATACGGTTTATCTTAGTTTGAGTCTAGAAGGTTACATTTACATTGATTGAGATAAATGTCGCATTTAAAACAGAATACTATGTTATTTAAAACTAGTAGCATGGCATTGCCCAATAGATGGCGGTGGAATAATGGACACAAAGTACGAGTTCTTACTCAAATTACAATGAGTTTTTTGAATAATATATATATATATATATATATATATATATATATATATATATATATATATATATATATATATATATATATCTATCAGTGAATCCTCATTTTTCTTGACTTGCTGGTGGAGGCCTATTTTTTAAATTTAATAAAAGGCAAAAGGGTTTCTAAAAAACAGTGGCACAAAAATGCGAATCGCGCTAGCACCTAATTGAGAGTTTGTGGAACAGTTGTTGACCTTTTCATTTCCATTTCAGGAAGCTTTTGATGGGTTTATTTCCTGCCTTATGGGCGCAGTGCCATCGCGCTCCCAGATTTTCCGTTCCTTTTTTTCTGTTATAGCTCCGAAGTTATTGACGTACATTGGGTTAGGCAACGTCACTTTCCAAAGTTTTGCGGTGTTCTGGATTTAACTAAAATATATGTGCGCGATGTTTTTGAAATGGAATAAGTCTTTTCCCTTTCATATTGTATATAATACAGTGTGGTAGATTTGGGTGTTGTCATTTAAGTATTTTTTAGGAGTTTATGTTGTTTATTGGTTATAAAGCTAATTTTTTATATGCTATTCGCACGTGCTTATGAACTAATAAGAGTGTTTTTCTCTTTTCAACGGTATATAAAATTTATTTATAACTTTTAATATTTAATATATTCTTGACACACATGACATATATCGTTGAAAACAGAAAACATAACACTATATTATTAGCTGATAGTTAAAGGGGCATATAAAAAAAATCAACTTTATGTTACAACCAAAGGTATTAAAGTTTGCTTTGCTATTCGATAGTTTGTTCTAGTTCCCACCATTAAGTTACATTAAGAAAAGCGTTAATTAGTTTATTCTTCTTTTTTTAAAATTATTTAAACACAAAAAAAATGTATACAAAAATTCCCTTTTTTTTTTTAATTTTAGCTGGTAAATTGATTTTTATTTTTTTTAATAATTAATAAATCATAACAATTATCAATTATTAATTAATTAATCGACTTAAGAAAAACAATACAATAATAAAAAAGGATAATTTAAAACTCGCATGAAATGGCAGAATATCTGAAGCACAGACTATAAAGAATTAGTTACTGTTTACAACTGACTTGGAATATTGGAAACAAATCGTGAATTCTTTATTTGCAAATTTGTGGTTTTACGTAACATGTTTTATGAAATGCAATTTAATTTATTATCTATAATTTATATTTATTTTATTTATTATTAAAGTTACTCCATTAAAAAGAGATATATACCGGAAATCGCTTAATTAAAATAATTTAATTACATTCAGGAATTAATTTTGCAAATCTTTTGTATTACTAAATTTACGTATTTTATTATCTATTATTGTCATGGCGGGGATATATAGTAGTTCTAGGTGTGCTTTTGATGGTAAAGCATTTTGAACGTGTTTTATTTGGGACACTTAAATATAGCGAACTCAGTGTTGCATTGTCGAAGGCTGAATTGTTAATGATTTTAAGAAGATGTGATGATTCTTCTGTGGTGCAGTATCAGGTTCCCTTTTTAGAATATAGCAAATTTAAGAAATATGTTTTGATTTTTATCAATCGTCTGTACATACCTTTTACAAAACTTCTGGATTCCTCCTGCGTCGGTTTTTGCTGAGTCGAACTTGCTGACGTTTCGCCGATCGTCCTGTTGGCTTCTTCAGTGCTTGACTGAAACTGAAACTGAGCAAAACGCAGGAGGAATCCAGAAGTTTTGTAGAAAGTAAGTAGTCTGTGGAAGTTTCTTTGAAAAATCGTTATTATCAAAACACGACCAAATTATCATACCACAATTTTGTAGAATTTTCAAGTTCTTTTACTTCTTTGCAGTTCTACTATTTTGATGTATTGCATCAAATGTAACGCCCAAAATCATCTTTTATAGTAACCCATTTGTACTACGTTATTTATAAATAATATAAATAACGTGGATCTGTGGATCCCTGTGGCACCCCTAATTTAACTGAGACGTTTATTTGTTAAATATGATTGCAATATGAGGAAAATTGGCTTAGTTTTGATATTATAGTCTGTGTCGTATAGTATGTGTTGATTGATATTTAGTGATTTGAGCGAGTTAGTGTCCGGAGCACCCCATACAACTGCAAAATAGATTCAACCAATGCTTGAGAAATTTTTTTGTTGATTTCATCAAATTAAAATGTGCCACCCATAGCTCTCAAACGCGCTGTGGATAAACTTTTCCGTTCTAGATAGGATATTATTAATATTTTTGAAGTGTTGTGGACTTTTCGACGTCCTGCATTCGCGAATATTAACCTTGACCTTTTTTGCAGTAAATTGCTCGTATTCTGGAGGAAGGTACCTGATTTTGTGTTTTCCATCGAGCAGATGATAAAAGGTAAAGGCAAAAAAGGACGTGCGAACCTAATGTTGGAGGTTGCGCAGATCAATGCGCGTTCTGATGATCCCGTGCCGCCTCTTCAGCGTCGTGACGTTCTGTAAGTTCAGTTACCAACGTTGTTGCTCGAACGTTGTCGGGTGAAATTATACGTACAGCGCAACATTGCTATCGCTCAATTTGCGATACACAGGTATGATCGACATCTTTTATTATTTTTTATTATGAATGAAAAGTTGTTCCTGGAACGGTTTCCCAACATTTCGGCTCATTGTTAAGTCAGTTTGTTCATTTTTTTAGCCACGAGCGCTTACAATTGATTCAAATAGTTCGTTAATATCTTCAAAATGAAGCTGACACTTTACGCGCAAAAAATTTTTAGTTAAAATATGAATTGACCAATTATCTCCAAGGAAATGTAATTTCTAATGTTTGGGTGCATAAAAACTTGAATTTTTCGCAAACTGTATAATTGCTTAGAAAATTATGAACCTTGCTGGTTTATTTGCAGAAAAATAATTTCTTTTCTTGTTTAATTAATACATAAATGAAAATTTAAAAGCAAACACAAATATCGATGTGTTAATTCATGTTCTACAGGCGGAATGGGAAGCAGAAAATATAAATTGCGATCGCTTGTAATCGTAACATAATACGTACGTATTAAAATTCGAGTTACCTACAGTTAGGCTGCAATTACCCGTAAAAAAATTAACGACCGAAAGGACTGGAGTATATATTACTGGGAGAGCAGCACAAACAAAATTTTGAAAAATTAATATCCATTATCTGTTTATATAGGAGAGCACAAGGCTAAAAATATTTACGTGACTCGGTGAACAAAGTTGAAACAATTTTTATACTACGAGCGTGCAGACGTTTACGTCTTTATTTTTGAAAGAGAAGAAACTAACGAAATTTAAATTGAATGGACATTAAATTTACTTCAATTGAAAATAGTTTTTATTTCTGGAGGAAAAAATACAACTCTTTATGCCTAGTCAAGTTCAAAGGCAAAATGCTGAAAGGAAAGATTTTAGGAAGCATTAAAAGCGTGTACTGAAAACCATTGAAAAGGCCGAAAATTTTTTAAATTAAACGGGGTATCTAAACAAGTGTTTTTTAGAAAGAGCACAAAAAACTTCGCGAGGGTTAAATTTAGACCCAAAAGTTTTTCATTCTGTAAACATGTAATAGTCAGAAAATTTGTCTTCTTTAAGCTACACTAGGTATATATAAGAATTATAATTGTAGAAAAGTTGAAATCTGAACTAAAATTCAATTGTAGTGAAATAATTTTTGGGATTATCTTGTTTAATATCCGGTATTTTGGTTAAGTGTTTGATTTAGGAGTTTGCAAAGGGAATCTCCAGTTTAATGAGTTTACGTCGAATCAATCCGCGTTCGTTCAGTGTATATATGCAATATCTACTACTCCCACGTTTAAACATTTAATTTTAATAGTCATATTTAATGAAGGATCGTAAAAATAGCATTCGAAGGAACCAATTTCGCTTTTCATGTTCAGTTCAATTAATTACCGCATACGTTTGATACCCTCATTGATGGTGCGTATAAACAAACCCAGATTTATGGCGTTCGAGGTCAAATTAAATTTCAGTTTTGACGTTTAATAATTTTTGTTTACGTACTTTTTTCTACTTCCTACTCTAAAATTAAAATGTCAACATCATTAAACACTGTATTTTCACATTTCACAAATGTATTTGGTTCTTCATTTAATGAAGAATTTAATGCAAGTGAAAGATGTGCTTTGATTATGATGCCTCTGGCCACACTTAAAAGAATGATGTCATGAAATTAAGGACCAAGACTTGGTTACTCTAGTAATATACAATTAACAATTAATCTCAACTGAGCTGTAGTCTCGCTAACTTTTCGTCCACACAGATATTGTTGAATTGCCAAAGATTGCAAAAATTGCTCCATGAATCCTTGAAAATCATGCTATAATTTACATTGACGTATTCTGTGTGTAACTGTAAATGAAAACCTTTGTTAAATAAAGTAAAAGGATATTAAAGATTCCTACGTCAGTAAGATGTTACGGATGTACTTTTACAAGAATGGTTCAAGGATTATTTCCTAAAAAACATTTTTAGTAATGGGAAATAGAAATATATATTTGGAATTAAAGAAATGGGGAATAGAATGCTACCATTCCAATCCAACTATTACATTTTAATAAGGTATTTAGAAAAATTTTGGCCGTCATGTGGTATTCTCATATCACCTGGACCATAATGTAATGTTTTTAGAAAAAGGGGTGGACTAACATTTTTTGTCCTCTAAAATCCTGAGTGTGAGTCACTTACAATTGGCACGCCACTGGTAACAATAATCGAAAAAATGTCTCCTATTTGTAAAAAAAGAATTTCTTGAAACTTCTTTTCAAATTTTGGTTGCAAAAAATAATTAAGTATTTAGGTTACTGTTGTTAGATTTGATTACTTATTTTCTGTTGATTTGTACATTGACAAACTAAACAACAGTTATTATCCAAAGTTATTTATTTATTGTTTGCTCACCCCTGGTTTCCCTACGTAGCTTTACATTAACAGTTTACTACAACAATATTTTCGACACAACTACTCTGATTATATACATTGGGAGCATGAAATTTACGTTTGTTAGCACCTAGTAATTTAATTTATATAATAGTTCAATCAATGTCGACATGGCAAATATTTATTTTAACCTCGGATAAGCCTCTTAAAATTTCCTATTTATCAACCATTCTCCCAAAAATAATGAAGTATTTATTTTGTGGAGTGATACGAAATACCATGGTCTATATTTTATGTCACGTTGTGATTAATGATTAAGCAACAGGATCTGAAAAAAATATGGGTTGGTTCTAATATATCTTCGTTTTATAGACAATAAAAGAAACCACGGACACTAAAAATTAATGAAAATATTGATTAACGCTGTTGTTTAATGTATATTTTCTTAGACATTTCATTTCTTTGTTGGCTGGTACAAAATACGCAAAGCTGCTCGAAAGTTCTAAAAACTTTTTGCTGAAAAATTGAATGGCTGGTACGTTAATCAAACTTGCGATAAGTTATATACAATGCGCTATATTAGAATGCCAATATACTCAACTTTATTTACAATATATTGATATCGGTTGTTTGCCTACCTTGTCATCCAAATATTATGACAATAACGAGATGCGTATTGGTACATTTCAATTATAATAATTATTCTAGATACCAGGGATTCACACAGTAGCGGTCTAATTATTTAAATTTAAATTGAAATAATTTTCTAAAATTACTTCCTAGTTCGAATATTATACTACCGTTTGCTACATATATTTTTTTATAATTTGCTAGTCTTTTTCTGTACATAACTAAAACTAGAATCTAGCTAGTGTAATAATATTTTATCGAATAATTTTGCATACATTTTCTTTAGATTAAAAATACTTACTTTATACCATAATGACCACCCTTACTATGCGAAGTTGAGTCTTCCTAAGGGCACTTGTTCTTTTATACACTCTATAAGAAAAAAGTCATAGCGAACCACGTTACGTTACGTTACGAGTGCTGTTCAAATCACCGTTGCTCCCTTTTCTTTCCTTGCAATTTATTTCCCTGAAAAAAAAATCCGGACGAAATATGGAGATATAAATTTATTTTCAATATTAAAAACTCGAAAAAAATACTCCATTCTGAAAATGTTCACAAATTTCTTTTTAATTTATATTTTCTTATTTTTCGTTTTGAAAAACGTAATGCATTTAAATTATTTGATTGGGGGACAGTAAGAAACAACATCTATGTAACTGCAAAAGAGGAAAATTGTCTCTCAGAACAATAAACGTTTATTAGAATGATCTCTTAAAATATAGTAAACTACAATTTATTATACACCATGTTTCAGCAGATATATAAGACAAAACTAAAGCTTCATTGAAATTTTTAGTGTTACTAACTATTCTTATAGAACCAGTATCAGGATATATTTAGGAACAAGGGATTTACTACGTTTTTTTTTACAGTATTTCTAAAGTTTAAATATGGGTGCAGACCAAATTCCATGACTCCTATAGAACACATTGAAAAGTTAATGTGGTTACCTAAAATCGTTTTGAATTTGAATGATTTAAAGTTTTAAAACCAAAAAATACTGTTCTATTTCGAATCCTATCCATTAGCGAACTTTTTAGGTCATTCGTTATTTATTTGGGCTCAGGAAGAAGAATAACAGATCTAACTGCAAAATAGTAATTGACTTCTTAATTAAAAACTTCTCAGAGGAAGGCCAAAATAACCTCTATTACAATCGTCTCTTAGAAAATAGTAAACCACGGATATTTATTTGATTAGTATGAATAATGATTAATGTTAATTAATAAAAGTCTCTGCAATTATATTGCAAACCTGAAATTTGAGATTTGGAGACTTTGCGATAGGCACTCAAGCTTTATTGATTTTATTTTTCACTTGTCTTTACGTAAAAATACAAAAAATAATTTACATAAACTACGCAGTTTTTTGAATGAAAATCGGAAAGTTTGGGGCTCTTTACTTAAAAAAAATGCTATAAAATAGGCAAATTGCCATCGTGTCGGCGAACTCATATTTTAAACCTTATCGCGCCTAAACTGGTTCCCTTCACCAGGTAAAACATTTTATTTATAAAGTTTGGGAGGTGCGAAGTGAAAAACGCGAAGCATGCCAAAACAGATCGATATTAATAACATCCCTTCCATATATTCACCCATTTTCGCACGGAACCTTGGCTTGGGGCGGAACGCTACGTTTAAAGATGCATTTATATTAAAGTATGAGCCCCGCTGTAAACGTACATTGGAAAGTTTTTAATATCGAAACTACTAAAAAATTCAAATAGAAGTGGAACTGAATTTTCATCTGGATATCGGCTAAGATAAACGACAAAATATGCAAATAATTTCATTATCCCTAAAGCTCCGAAAGCTCTATTTACATAGAGATGCCTATTGCACGTATATTTATTACGCCAAACTTGTCCTATACAATTATTTTTCCTCGTTAATGGTTAAGTTTTGAACAGAAGAATAGAAAGTTGAATTGGAATTTTTATCTAGTCTCAAGGACGCTATTTAATAAAAAAAGTCCTGTATTATAGAAATAACAGTGGAAAAGGGCTGGAAATTATATTTATGGCTCGTAGGAC